CTCTTTATAACGATTCCAGTCATTAGTTTTTTGGAATTCTTACAAGTTCCTTATTTTGTATTAAAATCTAGATAACATACAGAAAACAGGTTCTAGCAATGATTTGTTGCCAATCAAATTCATTATATAATGTTGTAATTTGACATTTTCCATAGTTTCCAAGGGCTCAGATTTGCCCGATAAATGTTTTTGTCAGTAACATGAAATCATGAAGACATGGGTATTTAATAGCATTGAATGAGAAATTTTGAGGAAGAAGTTATTAGTTTTTCATTGGAATTACATGTAGTCTTTTGAAGGCGGGGCAATCCCACTTTATAATAAGTTCATTTGTATGAAAGCAGAAAAATAAGATAAACAGAATGGTGAATGTTTGAAACAAATCAGACAAATAACAAGAAGAATTAGAATTGTTTTAAATATGAGATGACTAAATGAGTGTGAATCTTGAATTGGCAATGAGGTTCGTGTATGGTAATTACAAGGCCTAATTACAACTTTTTCACTTTTTGTCCTATTTCATTCAAACTTGCACCCGCCTACTTTTCTGATTTCTGCTTGCTTCTCTAGTAGTAGTCTGCTTTTAAGGTTTGATTTCCCTTTTAGTAAAAGAAAGTGATGTGTATCTGCATCACACACAGTACATAGTCATACATTACATGTTTGCCGGCAAATACGGTATGATAGAATTGAAGAATAAGTGAACTATGATGATAGTCACAGGAGCTCATAGGAGAAACAACAGGAGGAAGAAAAGAATAACAACAACAAGAGAAGGAAAACAAAGTTAGCGGAGGAACAGAAAATCATGATTTGGATATAAATATGAAAATTAATAGTTAGGGAGAATAGGAAAAAACTGAAGAAAATTGAGAAGTGCAATGGACATAAGATTAGCAAAAGATCCCTGGAAAAGGAGAACAGAAGAAATTAAAACAAAAATTAATGCAAGGTCTTTAAAGGCTATTTTATTTAGATTTTAGAGATACATGTTTGATCAAAGAGGTTTGCCCTGCAGCAGTCCTATATCCATGTCTGAGTTACATGTAGAATCAAAACCATGGACATGGTTTGTTAAACAGTAGGAAATGATTCATGGCTAACAGACTAGGTTCATTACAGTCTCAAGACAGTCTCAAGACAGCATATCAAACTGAACTGGTGAAAGTTATCATAGTGTTTGGAAAAAAGAAAAATAGTAATGCAATGTGCTTTTTGGCAAATTGTCAGATTCTCAGACACTAAAGCTGTAAACATTACAGCAGTTTTGCGGATACTGTTCATAGATTTGTGAGCTATTGGTAATAACTATTTATCCTATTGTAGAAGTGTCGTAGTCGAGTGATTTAAGCACTTGACTTAAAATTCAAAGGTCTTGGATCGATCCCGACACTGCACTAATGTCCTTTGGCAAGGCATTTTACATGTGCCACTCAATGCCCAAGAGAGAAATGAGGACCCGGTAGGATGACAAAAGCATTTGTGTTAGTTATTGCCTGTAGATGCCCACACGGTGACTATATTGTAGGAATACTCCTCATGGGGTGGAGATGGTGCACATTGTGCGTGAATGTATCTGATGACCGGGGTAATATTATCAGTAAAGCGCTTAGGCGGTTAGAGACGGTTTTCCATATTAAGCGCTATATGAATTATAAATCCATATTATTATTATTATTATTTTCAAAGCAGGATTCTTTTTTTTAAAGCCATCTCCTCCCCCCCCCCCCCAAAAAAAAAAAATGGATACATGTACATATATACGGTATCTGTAAAATTTCATGAAGGAAAATATTGCATTATGCTTGTGGTTGCCAGTCCTGTCAAATGATGTACATGTATGATATGGATGATTATCAGGGGCTTTATGAGATTAGAGCGGTATGGGGGTTTCCCCTTTGAATGTCTAGTTCAGCTTGAATGATGCAAGGCGTGGGAAGAGGACTCCCTGTCAAACACCAATCCCATATTGACACACACAGCATGCAAGGCATGCAAGGCTTGTAAGCATAACAATCCATACACAGCATGCAAGCATTATATTGACACACATCAAGTCATCATGCAAGCATTCTCTGCAGTAAAGCCTATCAAAGCAATTAGCATACAGTATATTCAGAAAACGCTATCACTTAATGACACTGTACGTAGTCTATTAGCCATCTGTGTACATGTACATGTAGTTTGTGTAATGTCTTTCTTTGTTCTCAGCTTGTGTGAGTCATACATGTTCAAGCCATGAAGTTATTAATTAGTAGTGTTTATGGTTGACTGCCCGCTCGCATTGGCCTCATCAATTACCAGAGTTGATGTGGACTTGATGAATCTCATTGTCATGCATAGATGCATGCCATTGCTATGACTCGAGAGGGAGTTCAGAATGATGCATGAAAGACAACAAAGTAAACACTTTCAGTCACATAATAAAGCGTTTTTTCAACCAGGATGCTGCAAGGTCACAAGGGGTGACGCAAGAGGTTGTAAGTGAACTTCATGACAACAAAGTATCAGAAACCACAAGATGCCCAAATATCAGCTTGTGTATTTGATAAGGAAATAACATTTTATAGAAGTGTGTTTTTTCTCGCTTGCTTTGCCTAATCTCTAAAAATTTAGAAATGGGTGGTTTCAGGCAGAATACTACCGTTTGATGATAGTTGGGCACCTTGCTACCTGAATACCATCATCTTGAAGGTCCACAAACATAATTATAACACAGTAAAGTGTCTCTTTTTTCTTCACTCAGGCTCAGCTAAGTTACAGCCTGTTTTTAATAGGAGACCAGTCACCTCAAGTGCTAATTTATAGGGGTTATACAGAGTATAGTGTAAATATCAACCCATAAGACTTTACCCAATACTCAGCAGTCTTGGGCGATAATATTTAATAGGGGTCCAATGCAAATAGGCCCTTCAATTTCAATTCCAACTCCAGACTCCCATGAATGTACAAGTACACAAAGTGCCCATACATACAGACTCTAAAATAAACCCCAGTCGAGAACCCTCTGAGAAAAAAAGTTGGTGTGCAACCATGTCTAACAAATATGAAAAAAAATAAAGGGTAACATAGTACATGTATGTAAAAAAATAAACCCATGCATGGAACCCAAGTCAGTTCTGTTCTGTTTGCAGCATTTCTTTGCAATTTTGAATGAGAGCACCTTCTCACCAGTTCCCTCTACTTTTATGTATTTAAACCTGCATTATTCATCTGTTTGAAGCTTACATGTATGCTTTGAATAGTATGCCTACATGTACAGCAGCATTGAACCCCAGAGACAGTTAATATAGAGTGAAATGCTTTAAGTGACTGGTGACTGTTCCCTTTAATATCTCACTGTTTGGTCTAGCCTGTTTCTTTAGCTCTCCCTTGAGGCTCTGCTTTTCTCAGCAAAATGTCTTTTGTCATTTTAGGTACAAAAATAAAGCAACCTTGAACACTTTGCCCTTTTATTGCCATAGCAACAAAAGATTCCCAGGCTGTACCCCATAGTCTTCTGAACTCAGACCCATCATGTTAATTTTGGAGCTTGATGTCAGATTTGATTCTGTTTCTACAGTTATCTACAATTATACATGTACATGTATGAAATATGTGTATACATTTGGAAAGAGTGATTCAACATTAGATCTTGGAAAGTAAAACTCAAACTGAAACTGAAAGTACTAAATTTGGAATTTGAGAATAAGCTAGCAACTACTGTTTGTGTTGCTTTTTAAATAATGAAACAGCGAAAAGAATGAACTTTGTTACTTTGACTATACTATATATATTTAGTGTATAAAATCACAAGCTCTTTCTTGGGAGTGAATTAAGTGTCCCCCCCCCTTTTGTTTAAGGTGGGGGGGGGGGGGTATTTACCATACATGTACATACATTTACATGTAAGTTTACAAATCACTAAGTATTTTGTTCTGTATGTTAGGGGATCAATGTTGCTATACTATATATTCAAAATGTGAGCTTCAAATATAATTTCTATAAAGATATATTGCCAGTTTGAAAACACTCTGTTATTAACCAAAAATGACTTGTATATAATTGCTTGATGCACCAGTTTGCTCTTGCATAGAAAGAAACCCACACGGAAGTGATGGAAGTTCATGGAACCCAAGTCTGTCTGTCTCAGGTTGTGAGCAAGGAGTTTAATCATGTCATTCTCTATTTTCTTCAGACTCCTTATCTGTAAGCCCATAGAATGTTAAGTATTTTTAGGTTGAACTTGATTTTATATGTTGTTGCTGTATACAGATGTACAAAACAAATTGTTTTTCATGTGATTGGTTCACTCATGTTTGCGGTGTACTTTCTTTCTCGAGGGGAAAAAAGTAAAGACAGAAAATTACAGTGTGCTAAATATGGAGGACCAAGTCATTTCCTTCACTAGGTTTTTACGACCTTCCTCTCGTGTTTGTCAGTGTGTATGCATTTGGGTATTTACAGACACAATATATCAATAGGGTTTAATTCTTGAAACTTTTATCCCTTTTGAGCTTAAGTATATATTACAAACTTCAAAGTGTGAAGACTGATAATACATGTATAAAACAATATTTTAAGTCTGACCTCTGGGTTTCCACAACTTTCAGTAGTTTTTTGATCCAAACGGTATGAACAACTCCTTGAAAGTGAAACTTTCTTCTTCCTTCCTGATGCTAGCAGTAATTAAGGCAGATTGTGTATCTGCTGAACAATAGACAATAATTATACCTTTTTTGGTGAAACTAATTCATGAATATTTCCCATTTGGCCTGATATTCTTCAACTTCAGACTTTTTGTACTATTTTGGTTTCATGCCGCTACAGACTGGTTAAAGATATGAAAAAGCTTCTAAATGTTCATCTTCTGATCATTTGACAGTTAAGGATGAAAAAACCTGATTTATATCAGTACATTGTACATTATGTCCTGACATATCACATTAACATGTTAGAATACTTTAGTGTGTTATTGATTTTAATGCATTTATCTGTCCAATCTTCTTGTTTTTATACAGAGGGCTTCTCGGAGTTGGTTACTATGGCAATGAGACGACTGCTATTGGAATCCATCATTTCATCAACTCAGCCAATGGGATAAATGACACTGTTACCAATGTGGATTACAAGGTAAGAACATCTTCCCTATCCCTTGGTTGTAGAATACTGTAGAAGCATTAATAGAACTTTATGAAGTTACCTGTACCTGCATCAAAATGATGATCATTGTTTTAATGGCACTGCTGTAATGTGCATTGAATGAAAAAGAGTTTTCTTGAGATCAGATGTTTAAGATCATAGAATAATTGATCAATGGACATTCCCTGTAGGCAGAGGCATATTGGTGACGCAGTTACATCTTCTAGTATTTCTTAAAGTCGTAAAGTATCCATCTCTTACATATATGTACGTAACAGATTTGTTTTATTTATCTATTTATTTTGTTTATTCCACCAACCCTTGTTAAATGAAGCTGATGGTTGATGCAATTGATGGGCAGTATTTAAAGATTTATAAGAATGCACAGGTCAGTGTATACCGGTAAATGTGACTGATGCTGCATGATACCAAGAAGGTCTTGATGATACTATTCATCTAGCTGTTAAAGGGTTGCTCAAGATAATTATTCATTTCTTTGTGTTAAAAAAGACATCATTATGCAAACAATTAATATGTAATATGTTGTTTAATTATGTTATCTAAAAATATATTTGTTATGATTTCGAATTATTGTTCATCAGATCAATAAGATTGAAGATGATCTTGGGAGCATTATTCCATCTGAGGTGGCATCGCTGGAAAGTGAGTTACGGAAGAACGTGAGCAATACGACAGCTCTAGGTATAATGCTTGAGATGACTGCCTCATTGACGCAAGCATCTGAGATGGCAGCAGCTAACCTGACGGAAATCAGTGAGAAGATCTCTCTGAGTGGATTGGATAGTAGTCAACTCATCAGTAATATCAAATATTATGACTACTTCAGGTTTGTAATCTCAGTTTTATACACACGTACAGTGTATGTATGTCATTTTAGGGTTGTGTTATTCCTTACTATGACCAATTCAAATTTAGAACACTATGGTCTTTTGCATGGTCCATACTGATTTTGTTCTTTTTTTGGTGGCAGCACCAATAAGGATCTTGCCTTTATATTAAAGCTGTCTCCTCATTCATACACTATTATTTTGTGATCTAATCTTATAAGTTTCGTAAATATGCTTTTTATAAATAAATACAATAAATGTCAACTAGAATTTGAACTACTGTATATGTACCACCTGATTTATTTTACACATTGTAAGTCATTCATGTAGATTTGTATTTGTATGCAAGGAAATGAATTGAATTAGAATAAAAGAGACAATTGTATCTTACAGGTGGATGGGAATGACCCTGATTCTGACCTTCCAGGTCGTGACCTGTCTCTTCATCCTACTGGCTGCATCAAAGGCATCAAGATATCTCCTAGTCTTGTGAGTAAATCTAACAGGTTTCTTGTGAAGCTCAACTCGGAAAGATATAGTTCTTTGTTGCAAATATACAAAGCATTTTTTAAAATTTAAGTTACTGAAGTTAATAAGTTCCCATTGATAAAATAGTATTGCAATGATTGGAGCATTGGTCTTTTAACTGAGAGGAACTAGATAATAATAATAATAATAATAATAATAATAATACTCAGTTCTTTTATAGCGCATAACACATTACAGGATAGCATGTCCCTATGCGATGTCAAGTTTGTATAGGGTCCTTCCACAATCTCAAAATGCTGTAATTCTGTCTATGTTTTTGTTATTAGATCAAGTAAAATTAAATGGCACTCAATTCAAGAAATTAGCGTAAATTGTATGTTATAGATTCTTAATGTTTTTCTGTCCTTTACAAAGCAGTAACATTACAGGCATAATTAAAAAGCTCTAAACGGTAACAGAGTGGCTTTATATTTGAAATTGCAACTAAGAATTTTTGTAGACAGATTGAGAACAAAGTTTAAGTTCAGAATATGCTGAATATGTGATATGCATGGAATTTGGAACCAGTGTTTTCTCTGTGTGTGATATCAGACTTCAATTCAATAATTTGTTTGTTACAGGTCCAGTATCTTATGTATCGTGTGTATCTTGATGATCTGGTGTTTAGTTGGAGCAGAACTCTTCATTGAAGTGGTAAGTACTTTCACACTGTCGAGAGTCTTATGCTCAATCAGTTTTTGTAAAAGTGTTCAAATTAAATTATTACCCAAACCTTCCCTCTTACCATACTCCCAGTATTGAAAATCAAACATTAAGCCAAATCAGTTTGATAGTTTCCCATGATGTCCTACAGAGTCTGAGATGTCCCTAGCCTGGATCCAAATGTTAAAACTTTAAGAGAAGGATTAGACAGATACATGTAGGTGGTGAAAATTGCAGTGTCTGCAAGAAGAGTGTTTAATTTATTTTTAATTTCCTTTGATTTTGTTTCTTTTACAAAATGAAACAATGGCAATGAAAAAAGCATGCACATTTCATATGAGTTCTTGATGTGTATATGTAATTTGTTAAATATTGCATTGATTCTTGTTGATTAATTGCAGGGGCTTGGTGATCTGTGTGTCGATCCTAGTCAGTATATCATGACTGAAACCAGTAAGAAATCTGAAATATCTCAAGGTAAGATGCGCTCATAAAACATTGATCTGGAAAACAGTTATTTCATATTCTTGGTATTTGACATGGAATCAAAAGCTAACACAAAGTAACAGATTAAAGAAGTATTGACACTCAGATAGTGTTTAATAGATAATTGCTAAAAATCATCTCACAGCAGTTAATTTTCACATCAAAACGAAAAATCAAGTTTGTATTCAATTATGCAATTTTCTGTAAAATATGAATGGTAATTCTTATTTATCAAATATGTTTTATTAATAGAGGTACCCTCTATTAACATAATGTAAGGTATGCAGTTTGTATCAATTACCAGGAAATATTTTGTTCTGTATGTTACTGGTTCCATGTTGCTATGCTATATATATTGGCTTCAAATATTACTTCTATAAAGAGAAATTGCAGAGAAGTTTAAATGCACCCTCAATCAACAAACAAGGTAGCTTGTGAGTAGACTATTTGACACACCTGTATTTACTTATAAGAATTTCATTTATATTGGATATTGCTTATGACAAGTATTACTTGTGCTTCCTGAAAAAAGTGATACGCAACACGATATGATACTAAACATGAAGTGTATACTTGATATAAGTCACATGATAACTTCTCAGCCAATAGACTCCTATCCAACAAATACCCTATTTCATATAATGTCATCATATAAGTTTATTATCTGTGTTATATTCACCTGCATCTTAACTTAATGGTATCTGAGTCATACCTGTAGTGTCTATTATTGTGGTTAACAATAGAGTATCTATTGTAGAATGAAAGCCCTTACAAAAACATGTGATACTGATTTGCATATGAATGACAAACGGCCATGGGATGTGATAGAGTAAAGCTCTTTCATGACAGGCCTGCTTTCATTACTAGTTCATATGCAATGGTATCTAGTATGAAATGAAAGTCAGTTCTTTGTATTGATCATGGGGGAACAGATTGTACTTGACAATTACACCCATTCTTCAAGTGGAATTATATGTTAGGTTTAAGCTACGTTCAGCAAAGTAACTTTCATTCTGTCTAATGTTGCATTATTAGACCGAGCCTGAACTCAGTATTCAATCTTTTTCAGTACTAATTGTTTGGATATGCTTGTAGCTTAGAAAAACATTTTCAGCTTTGTTTTTCTCTCTCTTGTTTTGATAGATTTTGTTGTATTTTGTCAGCTTGTATAGACAAAACAGCACTTTGGAATTTATTATCTTGCTTAGTTTATTGAACCAGAACTTGAACTTTTTTCAGCTATACAGAGCAAAGATACTAGTTGTCATACTTTGGTTATTGATAACTCAAAACTCAATATCAAACTGAGATTTCTTATTAAGTTGACAAATTGATTTGGAGTAAATTTTATGATTTCTTGAATGTTGTTTTTTTAATTAATGGTCTGAATATTTGATTGTACTTCACTTTTTCATAAATCAAGACCACAACATTTAGATGTATCAATATTTAATTCAGAACATAATTGCCAGTGTGTATTGCAGCTAAAATGTCAAACCTCTTGTTTTCTCTCCGAGTTATGAATCATTAGTGAGATTGGATATGAACAAGTTGGGAGGAGTGCTCAGCAGTGGCATTATTGGATCATTTAATTGGATGTACTTTGAATGAGATGATTATCAATACAAATGCTCAAAAGCTGTTAGCTCTCATGGAGTGGCAAGCTTTTCATTCTGTACTTATCACTTTCATTCTGCAATGAAGTGGATCCAGTAATAACATGATAAATTGATTTTAATGTGTACATGTTGTTTGTTTGTTTATTTCTAGTGACAAAATAACTTGGGCAATGAAGAGATAGAACGGTTACCTTCCATAAATCACAAGACTAACCCTACTCTCTTTAGAGTCAGAGCCTAAACCTGGAACTATTAAAGTTATAATAAATACTAGTGATATTGGTATGCACAAATGATTTGTATCTTTATGTTTCTTTCTTTTCTTTAGATGTTCTTGAATACTACATTCAGTGCACAGACAGCAGTCTAAATCCCTTTAGCTTGGTAAGTTTGTACAAGGAAGATTTAACAGTATATTTAATTATATAGATATATGTGAGTTGTTCAGGGTGTCTCAAAAGAAGATGTGTCAAGATTTTGATTGACAACATATTACAAGATATTTGCCTCTTTTATATCCTTTTTTTTTTCAAGTGCAATTTGTTAATACACTTTGTTGAAAAAAGAAAACATACACCCATATTTAAATTTTGGAGAGGAATATTCTTCCTTGCATTTCATTTATTTAGTTTTGTAGATGACCCTTACAATTTAGACAAATTTTTGTCATAATTTAAAGAAAACGTTCAAGTTTATCTTGAAAGAATGCAATATGATGAATAAAGAGGTTACCTTGGAAAGGGAATGAACAACTCTAATACAAGCAAAGTGAAATGAGGAAGTAGATCTATGTATGTTATCATGAGACACAATGCATTAGAAACTAAAATGACCTAGCTGATTATAGATGGAGGACATATGAAGTAATCTATCAAGTAGTAAAAAGGGAATATGTAAATGAGGACATATTAAATGTTTACATGCTCTGATACATTAATGGAACAAATAGTGGACGACCACAGTCAACTTTTGTCACAAGTACAATGTATACATGTACCATATACTCAGTGTGACAGACAGTCAGTGGTTTTGATCCATAGTGTGTAAAGAGTTTATGCTCCTCTTGCAATAAACAGTCTTTAATTGAGAAGGTTTGTAAACAAAGCACTTACATGTACAGGTGTATGTGGATGATAATGATAGTAATAAGAAACCATCCTTTAGTGCATAAACAGAATAACACTTGTAAGTATATCTCTGACTTCCGATGTGCTTGAGAAGAAAACAGATAATAAAAGCAAATGGGTTACTGAGTCCCTTTTATATGTTTAACATCAGGAATAAGTGTGTTTTATTGGCAGACTTAAACTTATCTATTGTTTGTAAGAGAGTTGGAGATGCTATTCCATCCATAAGACTGGGACAGAATGTGAGGAACAATAAACAAACTTTCATTCTTCATGATCAAAGATCTCTTGTTGGTCTATAAGCAGTGAGTAATTCATTTAGATAGGAGGGAGCTAGTCCATTAAATCATTCATTAGCTAATAATAGTATCTTGAACCGGATGCTAGATATCATTTGATATAGTTTGGATAAATATGAGAAATGGATGAATAGATTTATATCACTTCTTTCTTTTGGATATATCAGAAATCAGGTTTAAATAAGCACTCCATCTGGAGTGAAGTCCAATCTGACACCTTGTTTGATCAAGTGAAATAGGCAACTTGGAATGGCATGTCATTAGTCACATGAATAGAGATGATGAATACCGGTAATAGGATAAACAGTAACATTTCATGGATAAAATGTCAGGGGATTTTGATTGCATGTTTAGAAAAGGAAGAGGAAAGTAGCATATCCTGCTATTGTTTGTTAATAAGTACCACATTGTGTTGGCATTGGGTAACTTCCCACGAATGATAAAGGGGACCATTCCATAACAAATATTTTTCTCTGTATGTCAGGGGTTCCATGTTGCTGTACTGCCCTCATAATAGAAACTTCAACTCCTTCTTCTGTAATAATACATAGCAAGTTCAAATACATTCTCAAATAACATAAAAGTGATTTGTGAGTATTAGATTAGTTAAATGCACCTGTACATGCTCATTGAATAGGGCCTGCATGGAACCCAAACACATTTGGTTTCCATAGGTATGATTTAATGCTGTCAAACCTATAGAATGCCACATACATTTTGTCGGTATATTTGTTTTAAAGATAGGTTTGGATGCTTTACACCACATACATGATTATTTTTAAGTGATTGGTATCTGACCTGTTGTTCAACAAAAGAGGTGTCTTATACTGCTTTCTAACTGGCTTCTATCGGAGTCACACCGATGAAAATACAGATTGAATTTTCCTTATGTTTAATTATTTAATTTAATCAATTGAATTTAATATTTTATATGGAATATCTAATTGTAGCCTTTTAATTACTACATGTAGTAAAGACCAATAATATTATTTGATGTTAGCGCTCTGAGCCTTATGGGAATGGCGCCCTAAATGTTCATTGTATTGTATTGTATTGTATTATGTAAACAAAGGTTAAACCGCAGTTTTCCCCCTGACGCTTTCTAACTGCCGGTGAAATTCACTCGCTGTGGCGAGCCCTTGTCGGAAGTGAAGAATTATTGTGTAATTATTAAGCCCGCGCTCCATCTAGCTAGCATGCAGCATGTTCAACCATAAGTCAACAAACACAGCTGGTTACGATAAAGCGCGCGTATACTGCGACCTTTGACCATTTTAATCGCTGTTTTTATCGCCTTTTTCTTCCGGACACTTTCTAACTGGCCGTTTCATCGGTGTCACACCGATAGAATGAGAATTTAATCGCCTATTTCTCTTCTTTTCATTGGCTATTTAATCGCCTTTTTCTCCTCTGTTGCTTTCTAACTGGCCGTTTCATCGGATGCGTCCGGATGCATCCGATGAAAATCAGTGCAGTTAGGAAAGGGTATTTCATTCACATTCTACTTTAATAATGTACCAATCTTAAAACCAATCTTAAAATCTGGGAATAATATTGCACTTGCATTAAGAGAAAGTTGGTTAAAGTTGATTCTTAATTGGTTATTATGAAGTGGATGGGTTGCTTGAACCTTTAAAATAGAAAACAAATATATGGATAGTAGATTAAACTTGCTTGGAATATAATTGTTCAAAGAATAGTTTACATTTGATGCCACAAGGTGTATACACATGGCACGAATAACTAATTTCTCTACTCATTATCCAGAAATCAGACATTTTCTATCACAAATGTAGGAAGATATCATTTATTTTTAGCCTTTAATGGTCAATAAAACTTTGGTTTGATTATCAAAATTAATTTTTGATCATTGCCAGAACTAAAAATGAACTTCTAGATATATACTATACAATAACAAGGTGTATGATTCAATGTTGTAAAAGATGAATCCCTAAAACATTGTTATGACGAACAATTACTTTCATTACTTCATTACACAAAATGAAACTGAAACTTAATGTGGTATAATAAATGTATGTCAATTGAGTCGACGTAGCACACAGATTTATAGAAAAAGAAAAGTCACAATGTTATTTATCAATCCTGATAGGATGTACTTAGATGTGGTAAAGCAACCTCCCCCCCCCCCCCCCCCCCCCCCCATCTTGACAAACATGGATTGATATTTCTTGTTTATTGAGTATTGAATTGCCTTATATGAAGTGTTGTTTATTTTGGTTGTTTGTTTTTCATAATGGGTGTATTACATCTCAATTCACATTTGATTGATACTGTAAAGTGAGTTCTAGAGATTCTACCTGTAGTTTTCAATTTCTGAAAGTGCGTGCTGTAGGATGATATTCAATGTAAAATACAATATTTTTATATTTTTCAGGCAATCACTGAAGCAAACAATTATCTGGCTTCGGCTCATAAATCTGTTTTCTCTTTGGAGGGCATGGTGAGAGAATACGCCCCATCTTCACAGGTATGTCATGCTATACTTCTACTACAATGTTCAACCAACTATAAGGATGGTGTTATAACCATCGCTATACTTCTACTACAATGTACTATACTTCCCTACTATAAGGATGGTGTTATAACCATCGCTATACTTCTACTACAATGTACTATACTCCCCTACTATAAGGATGGTGTTATAACCATCACCAGGGGCGTACGCAGGTTTTTTCAAGGGGGGGGGGGTTTTAAAATCTGGCCCAAAATATTTTGCTCCCGAAAATTTGAAAATCGCGCTAGCGGAAAAGTCGCTCAGGGGGGGGGGGGGGGGGGGGGGGGGGGGGGGGGGGGGGGGGGGGGGGGGGGGGGGGGGGGGGGGGGGGGGGGGGAGGTAAGCGGACACTTTTTTTTTTTTTTGTCTCAAAATTTAAAAAATTTGACATTTTTTTTCGTTGGGGGGGGGGGGGGTAAGGTCACTTTACGTTAGCCGTGGGCATAATTTTTTTTTTTTTTTAAATTAAAAATTTACTTACTATAAGGATAAGGATGGTGTTATAACCATGTTATAACCATCACTATACTTACTACAAGGATGGTGTTATAACCATCACTACCGTATACTTGTCACTTTACTTGGAAGGAAAGCCCTGTGTAAGACTAATAGACACTCAGGCCACTGCCAACCTCATGAAAGAAATTATGTTAATGGTTAAGCACTAATTAGGGACAATCCTGTGATTTGTATTTAATATTACCCAGATTGGAAGCCAATTAATTCAATTCTCCGACTAGATTGCTTACAGAACCCCTCGTTTTAGTATGTCAGTATTTAACTCACAGTTAAGAAAGATTTTTATGTTATGTGGCCTGGACATAGTCTTGACTCTTAATGGAATGCCTTGTTTATTTTATTGCTTGCTCGGTAGTTCCATGTTTCTTTTCAGAGTTAATTGGCAGCTGTTATTAGATAAAGATTACAGAGCCCTCACAATGTCATCCTGTAACTAATGTGCAACAAATTTCAGTGTGCATACAAAAGAACAGAGCAACATATTATTTTCTGTGTTTCGAAATGAATTACTATATTGGTCTTAATTTTAAGGAGAATTTGTTAATGACGTAATGATTCTTGTATTTTTTCTTGTCAGACGTACGTTGATGCTGTTGGAGTTGCTTTGGCTGATGTGTCTGAGTATACACAACATGTGACAGCGTTAGTAGACTGTACAGGCATTCACAAAGATTACATCACTGCTCTAAATGGCATATGTTATCATACAATGTGAGTTCAACTATGCTTCAATGAACCTCAACTAATAGTTCTCTCATTCTCAATATCTCCTTAAATCTTGATATGTGTGGGAGTTTTGTATATTTCTATTTTCTAACTAAATGTGAACAATGCTTGCATCTCTTCACATTCGTGTAGGAATTCCATTGTAAATGAAACCAAAAAAGTGTAATGTGTTTCGTACTTACTATGAGTTTAATCTTCAATTATAATGACTTTATATTTTGCCCCACATGTTCTTTTATTTTGTTGTTAAATTGCTTAATAAAATTTATTTAAAAAATGCTACCTCCATATATATATGCTGAAAGATCATTTCATGCTCAAAGCATTAATCAAATAACACATAATGCACTGTCTTGTAGAGCAAAGTGGAATGAAACACAACCTAGTTCGTTGAAAGTTTGTCTCATATATGATACTGGCACATTAAGATATAACAGTTTGGCTTATAAATGAATACTACATAAATGAAATATTTTGAAGAAGGAAAGCAGTGTTTAATAGCAACTGCCTTTTTCTTGCAATGAATCAATGATGAACAACCATTATCTCAGGCTATTAATTCTTGTGTTTTGTTTTGTGTTATTAGAGCTGGTGTTGGTTTCCTGCTAGTAAGTGGCATAGTCCTGGGTCTCCTGATCACGTTGGTCTTGTGTATGTCATCCACACTGGCAGCCAGGATAGCAAGAAGGTACGTGCTTGTATCCATAGCATAAGGAATGATCAATCTGTTGGAACATTCAAGCACTCCTCTTATACTACATCCAAAGTTCAAAACCATTTCTGAAGTATCCCAACTAATGAGATGAAAAACAGCTGTGCTGACTAGGGTGTTCCGCCCGTATGTGGAAAAAAAAAAAAAAAAAAAAAAAAAACACAAGGCAGCTACCCTGGAATGGAATGGAATGCTAATCATATGTTGCCCAGAACTGAATACCGGTAGTACAATTTGTTTTCGTACTCCAGAGGTGCTGTTGAAACACCCTATCAAACTTCCAGTATAAAAGAAGTATTATAATGCCGATTAGGTGCTATTCAAGCAGATCTAAAGCAGTGTCCTTATAGAGTTCTGATGTGCCTTGACTCCAAGTATAAAAGGAATAGAAGTAATAAACTTTTCTTATGATGACCAAAATTACCAGTTAGATCATTCCGATTTTGATAACATTCTTATGAGAACCAAAGATAAACGTCACACCAAATTTATTTGAACATTAATTACGAGGTTGAAGCCTTCTGTTAGTCTGTATTTTGTTTATGAATAATTTTCAGGAAGATAAATTATGAGGTGGACCAGGAAGATCCTTTCCTGCCAACTCCAAACTCTACGGCGACCTTGGAGAGATTCAGAAGAAGAGGTCAAGAACCAACGGATTCAGCTCGGGTCACGCCCCCACTTGCCCCCATCTCACCTACCAGACCCCATTCACAGCATGGCTTTGGGTAAGTAACTCTACTCCTCCCCCTCCCCCTCCCCACTCCATTTTTAACCCTAACACTGAACCTAACCTAAAGCCCATTTCTAACCTTAGCTCTAACCCTATTTTAGATGAAGGAAGTGTTGCTGAAGCATATGTCAGAGCAATGAAAGAAGAAATGCTGTCAAAATAAACGTATGATAAATTGTACATTAAATTGAACAGATCCTTACTTTAGAGGGACAGCCAATAAACTCCATGTTTTAGACTATATGTTGTTAAAATGATCAGCATAGCTTTAGAACAAACTTTAGACAAAATCGAGCATTTTCACTGGCTTTAATGATAACCTTGTCTGTACATGATTGCTTCATATATGTCCAGGAATACATAAGATAGTAAGACGCATTTGAACAAAGATGTATAGCATCACAGTGAAATGCAGACACAAAACAAAAGTTTATTCCCTTGACAATGGGTGTACATCTCTCTAACTAGTATTCCTGTCATAAAAATGTGTTTTCTTCTCAGTTCATTAAAAGCTTGCTCATGGTTACTCATTTTTCATTTGTAGTGATTAGATTTTGCTTTCTAAAGCCTAAGTCACATAAGAGGTACGATCGGTTACTGACCTCGGACAACCATTCGTCTTTAGTAATCAGAAATCGCAAGAGAGATGACTGTCTTCCCTAGGTCATCAGTGGTCTTTGGATCATTTTGGTCAGTTGGATATTTAAGATGTTTAACCGGGGCCCCGTCTTATAAAGAGTTGATATCGATTTCAACTTATTTGCGATTAATATCGATCGCAACTATGTTCATAAGAGGCAAGAGACTGCAACCTTGCGATTGATTTGGATCAATCGTAACTCTTTATAAGACGGGGGCCTAGGTGTTTATTATCGCCAATAAATCAGTGCTCATTCTTCCAACATTTCCATGATTGAACAATTTTTGTAAGACATTCTGTAACCGATAGGCATCTGCCCTATAAGTGATTAATTGCCCACGTTGAGTTCGTGCACATTGGTTGTCAATGGTGACAGCGTTAGATGGTTGCAGGAAGTTGGAAATTGGTCGTACACCAAGTGTGACTTTGGCTTTAGAAGGTATCATTTATTTTTACTTGTACTTCTTTTCCTTTCTTTCAGTCTTTCTCACATATTTCTCATTTTATTTTTCTAAGTACACTTAATATTTCCATGCTTACCATGCCTTCAATCTGCATTCATTATCAATTAATCTTGATAACCCGTGATAATCATTATCCATTGTCTCCATTATATTTCTATCTGTTTTTAACTGATTGTGTGAGAATTTATTTTTCATCATTACCATAACTCAAGATTACATTGAATAAGAGCAGGTATCCTATCCTTTGCTTGTTACATTGGCTCCTTAATTCATTTGTCATTGTTAACTTTTAATTTATACTTTCAATTTTAATTGTCCTTTCCATATGCAGAGTAACCACGTATATATGTCATACTAACAAATGCTTTCTTTTATTACGTTTGCTAGGATATGGGTTTTTAGTAAATGTGTTGAAATATTCAATTAGAATGATTTTATAACAGAAAATTTGAGAAATTTGATGTAAGAATTGAAAGTTATCGAAAAACAATTTATATCAGTGCAGTCTTGTTTTAAGCCTATCCTTAATTTGTTGGATGGTTCATTTTGACCCTCTCCTGTACAACTACCTTGCAACTACCACAGATCATAACAAACCTGTGAGTGAAGTCTTCTTTCTACTTTTGAGAACATGTTTACAAAGATTGGACAATAAGTGTCACCACTGATCGCCCTTCCCCACCCTCCAACCCATCACTTGTGATTTCCATAGTGCTTAACATACCTTTACGTGTGATTTTCCAAACCAATGGCAGCAACTTCTTTTACAGAATAGCTCAATGGAATGTTTAGTCCCTATACTAGTATATCTACTTTTTAAATAATTTTAATATACAAATGAACTTTAGTCTAAGATGTTGTATAATGCACAAGTCATTTGACAGCATTTTACTGTTGAATACAATAAATATGGCAAGTAAAAAACCTGCCTGTGATGCTAGGCAGTACTCAGTGACTTACATCATCACTGTAGTCATAGGAGTCTGGGACTAAGGGTGACAAATGTCATTTATATAAAAGAATTTCCAATATAAGACCGTTATTTCTGTCTAGACTACACATCACATCAGTGTGCTATGTGAAGTACATACTGGTATACTGGACTTGATCTTTATGTGGATTCATGACTGCTTGAGTGGTTTGTAAACATCAGACCTTAATATGATCATTTCATTGTAATGTTGTAACCCTTATTCAGCAGCAGGTCGGTTCCATCTCCTCCTAGATATCACAGATATGAACCGCAAGTATCCCAGTTGATATATTGCATTATGAGATCATTAGATAGACTAGTAAACTACTGGGCTCGTTAATATAAAAGATTTAGACTACATGAGATATCAATATCAACCATTTGAGATCATGATTCTCTTTTAATTACGATCATTTGATTGAAATCATCTGTTTTTTTTAGTTTTTTTTAAAGAAATGAAATCAAAACTGTTTAATCCATGTAAACTCATAACTGGTGTTATTTGTGAGAGGGATAGCAGAATTATATGAAGACTTGAAAGAACTCTCAAAAGATATTCTGTATCTGATAGAGATTAAAATATACTCTGGATTGACTTGGAGACAGGTAGTTCTTAATGGATGTCATGTAAAGAGCCGAGTAGTTTTGTCAAGATTCTAGTCTTGTGTTTTGATTGTTACTGATGAACCTGATGTGAAGCAGTATGCTGTTTTGTTTAACCTTCTGCATACCGTATCCATCTTATTTCTTCCATTCACTCCACCATTCCTTCATTCATTCTACCACTACTGTGTATCAGTCAGTCAGTCATTGTGATACTTGTGCATGGTTTTATCATTTGATTTTTGCATCGTGTTCAAATCACACTGGGAGGTGGCATCTACATTTCATCCAGAATCCACCACCACCGCTAGACAGACGATGAAAAGTAATGTTTGCGAATCAAATGAGGCTTAATCTAACAATACCATGCTCATTCATTCAGAGAAAGAGTCTCTCGGAATGATACAAAGAGGATCAAAATAACAAACAAACCAATCATTATCATTAACTCATAACCAACTAACCCCAAGCCATGCATTAACATCAGTCTACTAGTATTGGATAGTATGAATAGCATGTTCAGCACTAAAACGAGTTGAGATTAAAACCATTCATTTTAATGATTGAATTTGCACTTGACTGCATCATGATTTGCATTGATAAGAGTACTTCAGGATATGAAGATATCCTTGTGAAGTACTCATTAATCAAATTATCTGAAATCAATTGAGTATACCTGAAATGTTTTATACCAAAATAAATTGAGTGAGGCAAATATCACGTTACTCCCACATATTTGGAGTTGCTTTCTTGTTTTCCAATCTTATCTGTTCATGATTAGTCTGGATTGGTAAAAGATCCAAAATTGATTTTCCAAAATACATCTTGAATAAAGATAAAGACCAGTTATGGTCATACGATTGCATTGTGAAAGAAACGAAGTGGAATTGATCAGAAAAGGTTGATCATCTAGCATATAAGTATTGCTGTGTACTGCAAGGTTCTGGAATCATCAATATGATAAGACATTTGGCCCAGTCTTGGTAAAGTTACAAGCACTGTACACAGAAAGATGTATATGGGACTACACGACACGTGCGTTATATCTATCAGGTCCAAATAGATATAATAATGTACCAAATATATCAATTAGTAGGCGGTTTCTTGGCAAAATTTTCACATGATTGGTAATAAGAGCTTCCATTTCATTTTTTGAGAGGGAGGCGTTTCCAAAACTGGTCTTTACCTTTAAATCATATCAACAAGAAGACAGCATTTGCTGACCAAGTATCTCAAGGTATGTTTATTAGAATGGAAAAAGGTTAGTTAGGTTTGATGACTCTGTTTATCTCTCTACTACAGTCCGTTTGAAATGGTGAACCCTCGCCCCCCTGCCGGCCGTACATCATACGTATCACACCAGCGAGATAGTTATATGGAAGATTCTGTAACAACAACAAGAGGAAACTATGACACTCCCCCTCCCACTGTGAGTCTATGCCTGCCTGCTTCATCCATTCCATCAACACTATTCTATGCATTCTTTTTCTCTAGTCTATCGTTGTGATGTCGTATTTGCTTGGTGTCGTCATTATGTGTATATGGGGTATATCATTGTATGTATGTTTTTTTGTGTATCATTGTACCTGTATTTTGGAATTGTGTTTGCTTTATTGTGTAATTGTATGTATTCAAGTATTCAAGTATTCAATTTTGTATGTATGTATGTATGTGTCATTATACCTGTAATGTCACTGTGCACATATGTACATGTATATTTTCTTTTTAGTCTGTGTAATCTTTGTCTTTATGTATAATATTATGGCATTTGGTCAAAACCTTAAGAATATTTGAAGATTCAAAGTGTACTCCTAGAAGAAACATTACATAGTCTAGACAAAACTACATTTAAATCCAAAATAATTGCATCAGAATTAATTATAATCAAGTTTTCTACTACAATACCCATAACAAATGCTAAAATGTTAGGAAAGTGGAAGAAGTGGAAAACTATCAGACTTGCATTAAAATCCAAATTAGCTCTTGTGATACAGTGTACCCCTATAGATCAAATTCTATCAAAGTAAAATTTGTCAAATTTGATGTTTCGACTTGTGGCTGGTAGAAGGACGTTAGCAGGCATTAGGCCTGAGTCCGAAACGGGTCCCCGCCCGGGCCCCGACCGTCGAGCTGAAACCCGGTTTTTGGTTTTCGGGTTTCGGGTTTTTCAAAATTAAATTTCACACTGATATTTTGAAATATAGAACTAAAAATATGGAATTCACAAACTTATATTTCAATATAATCAAATAAATATGCTTTAGAAATAAATGGATATTGTTTCAGTTGACGGTAGGTGTTTTTATCGCTCTAAAATTGAGGCTGCAAGAAAGGAATCACGCTTCGTGGTACCGATCGAGTGCGTTCAGAAACGGAAGTGGAAATAGATCTATGACCCACTGAAGACCGAGCAAGAAAATGCCACACACAAGACTAAAATATTGATCAGACTATTGCAATTAAATCGTAATACTAAAGGCATTAATTTAATTGTCAAAATATATCCACAACATAATGGTTTACCCTTGATAGTTTGATGAAGGAAAATAAATTAAAGCTCTTGAAATAACATCGAAGTGCCTTTCGTTCGTTCTAAAAAAATGCGTGTATAACGGCAAGCAGAAGTTACGAGTAGCTTGATATGCACGTTTACATCCCTACACCGTCATCCGACCTGATCGGAACAATAAGCATTAAACCAATTAAAAAACATCACGGAAGACTTTAAGGGACTCCAATTCAACAAAATTACCGTAAAATAATTATTTGCTTTGACAAATAATACTTTAGATATTCATAATATCTTACAGAAATAATGATATTTCATGAGCTACGTACTCGATATCGAGTTCAGCTAGCCATCATTTTGAAATGAGACGTAGTTGTCATGCATGCAGCGCAGAATGCGACAGCTCGCAGCTAGAGAGGGAAAAAAATCACGTAATAGTCACGTGAATATCACGTGATCTCAGGCCCGCGCTTTTTCCTCTCTCTTCTGCATACTGCCCTCTACAGTCTACTGCATGACAACTACGTCTCATTTCAAAATGATGGCTAGCTGAACTCGATATCGAGTACGTAGCTCATGAAATATTATTATTTCTGTAAGATATTATGAATATCTATAGTATTATTTGTCAAAGCAAATAATTATTTTACGGTAATTTTGTTGAATTGGAGTCCCTTAAAGTCTTCCGTGATGTTTTTTAATTGGTTTAATGCTTATTGTTCCGATCAGGTCGGATGACGGTGTAGGGATGTAAACGTGCAGATCAAGCTACTCGTAACTTCTGCTTGCCGTTATACACGCATTTTTAGAACGAACGAAAGGCACTTCGATGTTATTTCAAGAGCTTTAATTTATTTTCCTTCATCAAACTATCAAGGGTAAACCATTATGTTGTGGATATATTTTGACAATTAAATTAATGCCTTTAGTATTACGATTTAATTGCAATAGTCTGATCAACATTTTAGTCTTGTGTGTGGCATTTTCTTGCTCTGTCTTCAGTGGGTCATAGATCTATTTCCACTTCCGTTTCTGAACGCACCCGATCGGTACCGCGCAGCGTGATTCCTTTCTTGCAGCCTCAATTTTAGAGCGATAAAAACACCTACCGTCAACTGAAACGATATCCATTTATTTTTTAAAGCATCTTAATTTAATTCCATTGATTATTTTATTGTTTTGAAAGCAGTAACTGTCTTTTCCGTCGCATTATTAGAACAGCAACTTAGTCTAACTCCCGCCGCTGCATGCACACGATTTTTAGTGTCAGTGCAGTGGTGAAAATTTCGGGTACCCGGTCCCCGCCCGAAATTTTCAAGTCAAACCCGGGTTCGGCAAAACCCGTGATGACTCAGGCCTAGCAGGCATGCATGCCATAAAGCACATTTTTTCATAACTTGAGATTAAAGGATCCAAATATGTGTCCATCTGTCGCTCCTTACAAATTTCAAAGTTTACATGCAGGACTCTCTTGTGAAAAAAAATAGGTATAAACCGTTAAGCCTTTTGTGACCAAAATTGGGCCGTATATACACTAAGAGGACCCTCACATTATGGTGCTGCTGGTTCTGTGTTGTCTGTATCTGGTTCTGAGCTAACTGCTGCTGGTACATTGCTGACTGCTGCTGGTACATTGCTGACTGCAGCTGGTTCCTTCTTTATTCCTGCTGGTTCCATGCTGGCTGCTGCTGGTACAGTGCTGACTCAGTGCTGCTGGTACATTGCTGACTGCAGCTGGTTCCTTCTTTATTCCTGCTGGTTCCATGCTGGCTGCTGCTGGGACATTGCTGACTGCTGCTGGTTCCTTATTTATTCCTGCTGGTTCCATGCTGGCTGCTGCTGGTACAGTGCTGACTGCTGCTGGTTTAGGGCTGACTGCAGCTGGTTCCTTTTTTTTTTTTTTTTTTTTTTTTTTTTTACTTCTGCTGGTTCCATGCTGGCTGCTGCTGGTTTTGAGCTGACTGCTGCTGGTACAGTGCTGACTGCTACTGGTTCAGTGCAGGCTGCTACTTGTTCAGTGCTGACTGCTACTGGTTCAGTGTTGACTGCTTAAATGCTTGCTGGTACATTGCTGACTGCAGCAGGTTCCTTTTTTACTTCTGCTGGTTCCATGCTGACTGCTGCTGGTTCAGTGCTGACTGCTGCTGGTGCTGTACTGAATGCTGCTGGTTCTGAGCTCACCATTTGCTGGATCTGTGCTGACTGTTATTCAGTTACCCTGTTGATACCTCAGATCACTACATCATATCAACATCAGACCAAACATAACAGTAGATTCCTTTTGAATGACCAGGACTTTGTTGATTATTGGTCATTCAAAGTCGGTTTAGCAGTGGGACTGTGATATGAGATTACAGGTATCATACCTGGGCAGTATAGTCTCTTAGCCCCCTTCAAAGAGACTGTATCTCTGAAGCATGTTTTGCCTCATTTTAAATGTGCATAAATTGTACATATGCGTAGTGTTGTTTCATAGTGTAAACTTGGTTACTGAATTCTGCTGGATTTCGGCAATAATCTTATATTTTGTATTTCATGTACTTATGTATGCTCTGATTGTCTGTGTTTGTCTGTGTATGTTTGTGTCCGGTGTCCAAATGATTTTCTTCTTTTCCTTATATATGTATATGGTATTCTTTTCTTTATTGATGTATTGGTGCTTAATGTTGCTATTATGATGATTATGCATTCACTTTATTTTTAATTTAAAGTTTGCATACCATATGCTACTTTTTAACAGAGTCATTTGAAATTATATTTTCTCATGAAGAAATGGAAGGATTGAATGAGAATGTACCACTCAAGTCTACATAGTTGATGATTATTTTCACGATGCATTTGAATATATAGAAATGTGATATATAATAACTTGCTTTGTTTTTGACGGACCCACAGTATACCATGGCCATGAGGCGGGATGGGAACAGACGAACACCTGACGGGAGATCAGCAAGAGAAGAACAATCCAATCAGAATAGATTATCAGCAGGATCAGCTAGTCTCGTCTGACAATGGCTTCTATGGCAGACATAATGGGTCTGCTCATTACTCAAAGACACTCAAAGACACTCAAAGACTGCTGATCTTATGGAGGGAGTGAGAGAGTGAGAGAGAGAGAGAATGAGAGAGTGAGGGAGTGAAACTTGAGGATCACAGCCAATCTTGATAATCTGATGCATGGATAGATAGGATTCATTATCCTCTTCTACTCATGCTGGTTGTTAAGAAATCAATGTTTTGTTAAGTATCTGAAAATATAAGATATATTGAATTTGTTTTTTTCTGTGTATGTCCTACAACAAAAGAGGCTAGTCTGGGTGAGGAAATGCTGATATCAAGTAAACAAGAGATTCATCTCAGTATGGAGAGATAGATGGAATGTAAATTAATCCATGTATAACTTAGTCTGCTATCAAGGAATACATGACAAAGGGGCTCTGAATGCCTCTTCCATAAACCTTTTAACATTTTTGCTTGTCAAGTATTTAAAAAAAAAAACAGTATTTAAAGAAAAATATGATCATGACTTTCCATGCAGTTTTCCTAATCAATTAAATTTCCTTTGATTATATGGACTAAATTGCTATTAAGGAACTACTACCATTTATGCTTTTTAGATAGAGCTTTCTTGCCATTTCAGAAGATCCATAACTAAGTATCTGATATTAAACACAATCAACAACCCACGGAGGATCTTATTCTTATTGAATAGGGTGGAGATTTTACAAGCGTTTGTCAGAAACCTTATAATAAATGATTTTGAATAAAATAAACATTATGTACTTGGGGCAGAGAGTAAAATTCTCAGCTCCTAAAAAAAAGAAGAAGCTTATTGATAATCAACCAGCCAATGTGCCTGCACTCTTTAGTTTGTGCCAAATTTGAACTCCCTTTTAAAGAGAATGAGAGGGGGAATTGTGTGTGTGTGTGTGTGTGAGAGAGAGAGAGAGAGAGAGAGAGAGGGAGAGAGAGAGGACGACCTTTCCTTTGCCCACATGTCTATTATTATTTATTGAGCCATTCAATGTTCCCTGATATTATGTAGCTATTGTTTGGATCTCACCTTTGTTATGATAATAGAGGGTAAGATAACATTCCATAGGAAACAATATGACCAGGATGACATTCTCTACATATATATTTACCAATCTAATAGGCCTTACACTAGTGATGATAATCATGTATGTTATCAACGTCTTTTCTATTCTTATGTGTTCATGTGCAACAAAAGTAGACCTTTTTAATGTTTGCATACACATGCGGTAAGGATGCACACACATACGTATGAAAATGCTGAACATGCATCACATATACATGTACATGCATGCAATTAAAAAATCTCTGAATGATTCATGATTCCATCAATGTTTGCTTCAAATATGTGAAGGATTGATAGAAGCATTTAGAATCATTGAACAACATCCACTAATAACCCTAAAGATATGGAAAATAAATGAGTTAATCCTCTCTAGGCAAACAATATAAAGATCTTTGAATATCATCATAAACTTTGTATAATTATTTTTGATAGAATTGCTAGTCATAGTGGATCAGTAGAGAGTAATGCTCAATCATGTGTGAGGCAAACTCTAAATATGTAGATTTAATTGTTCTCGTCTACTCTTTATTACATGTATGTATATTTGTCAGATAATGAATTTGTTTGTTTGTATAAAGAAGTATATTAATGGACCAGTGTACGTGTATACATTTTATAGAACATGAAATGTACTGTATTTGCCATAGTTATGTGTATATTATTATGACTTGTATTGATACTGCTGTGGGTTCTTTTTAAAGGTCAGTCAGAGACTAAAGGTTTTTAGATGGTGGTTTTACTAAACATGAAAGAAAAAATAAAAATAAAATTTATGCTAGAAGTCAGGGAACATTTCCAAATGATTTTAAGGAACAATGTACTAAGCGATGAACAATTTTGAAAGCTGTTGCCACTTTTGGGGAAATTTTCAAGTCATTTGTAGTCAATACCCCCCCCCCCCCCCCCCCCCTCTTTTAAAAAAAAATGGATATTGCAAGTAAGCCTACATACATGTTAATACTATGTTAATTCATTCATAGAAAGTTGACTCTAGCAAATGTAACATTTATCATGGCTAATGCTATTAATAATGGGCTTGAAAATACAAGAAAAGTTGACGCCTTAGTAACAGTATATTTTTTCTACTAAATGATGATTTAAATGTTGCATCATGACTATTGAAATTGTATTTTGAGAGAGAGAGAGAGAGACATATAATCTGTATATTTAATGAGATGATATTTATGTATTTTTACAGATGCTTAAGATACTACATTCTACATTGTGTTGTACATATCTGTAAATTATATTGATTTCTTATTTGGAGAAGACCACCCTGGTATTGATGCTTTTATCAACAGCAGAAAGAAAGTGAAAGAAGACAGATTAATGTCTGTTTATAGAACATTTTGAGAAAAAAAGAAGTAAATGAAATTCATGATAGTTCAAAGAAAAAGTAGTAAATATGTGATCCCTTGCCTATATCTCTTTCAATTTTACTGAGAACGTTTTTCTCACACCCTTTTTTAAAGATTCATTATTTGGATATACTTTTACACAACTAAATAATGAGCTCATCACCACCAAGAAGGATTTTAGCACCAATATTGAATGCAAGGATAATCAGAGATAAAATCAGACATGACAGTTTCTGTAAAATGTTGTCAACATTTTTACTTTTTTGGTCTGATTTTTCTGCTTTTAGTACTTTATATCAGGATGGAATTCACATTATAAGATTTGGAATTAAGTTGTGTAGAAATACATGTAATATTATTCAGATTTGAAATACCTATGGTGCTTTTATCTAAGACAATCGGTAAGACAAGTAGTATGGACGAAACAATGGTAGCAAATGAGTATAGTCAGAAGAATTTGATGAAGATTTGATGTGGATTGGCACATTACCAGAGGAACAGACTTGTTTTCACCATCTTACATTCTAGTCAAAGGGATGTTTTATGTCAATATAATTGGATAGGTTTAGTTAAGTGAATGTGAATGAATGATTTAATGCACAAATTTCCATCAATCTCTGTCTCTATAATTCAACACATCTAAAATGAAGTTCTGTCAAAGAAAAAATGAACAAGTTAGTATAAAAATTGAAAACAAATATAATTAAATCCAAGCTTTAAGATGTTTTAACTGATGAATATTACAATGTGTAAATGGATAACAAATTTATCATACAAAATATTTTTGTTTGATAACATTTAACAATGTTTTAATTATATTTTGTTTTCCACCCTCCTCACAACAATCAAATACTTGCATTTTGTCCTGTGAAAAATGTTTATTTCAAATCTGCATCCTTTGTGACTGTGGTTTCCATAGGGTATATGGTACATGTATATCTATATATTGAAACCCATTTACCAATGAAAGTTATGGATACCGCATCTCAAGTTGCTATTTGTGCATACAGTATGATCGCTGTAAGACCTGGCAGAGTAACTATAGAAGGCTGTTTCAGGGTTGTCTTATCTTAACCATTGATGTAATAGAAGAGATTTTGTACAGTACTGTTCCATTATGATCATTCAATATAAGTTTGTGTAGACTGAAAACTCAATCCAGGAGATTGTACAGTATTAATCAGGATGTTTTTAATGACACTTGCTCTGATGACCATCACTAAACCTAACTCCAATAATGACCATCACTACCTAACCCCCAAAACCAAATTGCATTCCAAGTCATAATCCTATATCCCTTTATAAGGCCTACGAGGAGAAATGTTGCCGGGCAAATGCCTTCTCACTTTATATGTATTATGATTTTGTGCAAGTTCTGCTAGGATACTATTTCTTGGCTTTAAATGCTATTTATTTTTTACTACATAGTGCTGCAGTAGTGTACATTTTCTTATTCGTTTACTGCCTTTTTGATGTCTTAGTTTTTTTAATTTTTTATAGATGATGCAGAGTTTTATCTCAAGATTTAATGAACTTGTCTTGCAAGAAATAGTTCGAAATTGGTTTGATCTCCATACATTTGGTAGTTTGTTGCATTTTTTGATTTGCCAATTATCAATTAATTTCAAAGAATGCTTCCAACTTAGACCTAGCTGTGTACCAACATCAATACCTGTAGATTCCCTCCTTCCTACGTTGGAGCGTTGATTCCTCTAGAATACTTCCTTGCTGGCTCAAGTAAGAGGGGGAATTGGTAGAACAATGATCTTACTTAAATATCACAGCTATAAAAAAATGCTTGTGTTTACACTCCTAGTAGAGATGAAGTTATCTTGACCAATCTTCTTCCAAGGGATGTTAAAACCCTATCAAAAAGGCATACAATAAAAACAAACATAAAACTATGAAATTAAGATGTTCACTTCTATGTTCAGATGTAAGCCATATATGAATCTTAGCTTTCTCTGTTAACATGGCATGAATGGTAGTAGTTGATAGGCCTATTGGCTGTTGTGTGTTACCCTCCTTTTCAGTTGGAAGTTGGATTTGTTAATAGCTCCCACACACTTCCCTTTTCAAGGTATTAGTAACAGGTTGTTTAATTATAAGTGCCTGTTCATCTGGCCTAATCACACTTGTATTAGCACTTCTACACATGGTCAGGCATACTCGGTAGTCTCGGAAACTTTGTCTGCTTTGAGGAAAGTCTTCTCTAGAAACAATGTAGTCTTCCTACAGACAAGCACAATCAAGAGTCTAAAATTTATAATTATTTGTTGTTTTCTTTGATGACAATAATGTATTTTCTAGTTCACTAAACCAATAATGATTTAAGGTAATTTGGGTGAGTAATTTCTTACCAAAGAACTTCACTAAATTAGTGACTACATCCATGAAGATTTACACATTTTGAAGGCTTTTTTGTAATTATTTTAGAATGAGTTGATTTATTGATAAATACTCTTGTAAATAGCTGGGTATATATTAATTTGTTATTTTGCACAGAATATTATATTGTATAGATATATAATTTGTGTATATCTACATGTATTTGCATATCCGGAAATTAGATATACAATGCAATTGAAGCACTTTTTATGCATATGAGAATAAAATTGTACAGACAAACCATGTATTAGTTGTGCGTTTCTTTGTATCTGTATTCCATACATGGGAGGGGGAGTAGGTTTAAGGTCACAGGTGGATTAACATGACCGGACAAAAGAGATTTTTTCGCTAGCATCACTATTACCATCGATGTCTCTATGACCATTTGAGCCACAAACTTATATATTTAATAATCTTGACAATTTTCATAGTTAGATACAAAACAACACAACATACAAAATCAACTGCTTCGCCGTACAATTTCTTAATTTTTAGGTAAAAATCTTTTGTATTGAATAACGAAATGAATGCAATAATGTCGTCCATCGTCGGATGATTGCAGTGAATGCATTCCTTTTATTCTAATTACATGTTGGTCATATAGTCAGTGAAAACATGTAGCTATATAATGGAGTCTTAAACCCAGGCAGTAATCTGATAATTTACATAAATAGAGTTCTTGATTATAACCAGGTGTGTTCTTTGTTTGGGTGAGAAAAGTATGGTACAGTTTAGAAGTAGATTCAATTCAATTCAATTCAATTCACAATGGTTTATTAAAATACTTTCACTGCAGCAAAGCCGAATTGCGAAAATTAACAATAACACAGTGACAATTGATCAAAAATGCATAAGGTAAAACATGGTAACATTACAATCAAACTATTATTCATTGATAAAAAGTACAGTCAGGATGGATGAAACAGAAAAGAAATGGGAAAGAGAGAGGGAAAGAGAGAGAGAGAGAGGGAAAGGGGGGGGGGGGGGGAGGGGTGGGGAAACCGCAACTAGTATGTAAGAATACAAGGAGACAGAAGCTGTCCTTACATGGACAGAGAGGGTAGATAAATAATAATGAAAGGAAAGAGTTAAAGAAGGAGGATGGTAAAGAGGGGAAAAGAGATAGAGAGGGGGGGGGGGGGGGGGGAGAAGAGTAAGGGAACACACACAACAACAAAAAATGAAATAAATAACAAATTTTAAAAAAAGATAAACGGCATATAACGCTCCGATTTTGAGATGGGAGGTTGTGTGTTGTTTGCAGGGAGGATATGAGTGCAATGGAGGTATATATGTATGCTAATGGACCACATTTAGGCCAAGAATTAGAAGTTTTGATCACTTTGAAACCTGAAATGTAAGTTACATTCGTTATTATGTATATTGTGATCAATACAGATATTGCATGTTGTGTATGGTTATTATCACATTTATTGAAGTAAACTTAATTCAGTGGGTGTGGCAAGGTTATGTAAATGTATATCATTCGTATTCATTTTTCATTTATCTGCAGTAGATAGTATGCTATTATTTTTCAATGAAACTTGTTTATTAATAAACTTATCATGAACTGGTAATCAACTTTAATTACAGCTGTGCATTGGGTTCCAAGTGAAGATGATGTTCTGGGCTATTGTAGTCTTCCATCCATAGACTTTGTAAAGTGGATGGTCACCCACATATTGTAACACAATGGTTGTATGATCACAGTAAAGATAGGCGTTTTGCTTTGCTTGCTAACTTTGAATATATATTAATATATTGTTTGGTAGCTGTGTAAAGTGTATCAGCCGACATAAGTAATTAAGAAATCTCACGACAAAGTACTGATTAATAGAAAGCAATACGAGCCGCAATTACCCCTGATTCGTGCACTACATGTTAATCAGAATCTTGATGAATGTACTTTATTATGAGAATCTGAGCATTAAGATGGTCTCAATAGAAAACACACAGATTCTGTTTTCAGAAGAAAGAGACGAATAAAATGATTTAAGTTTGTTTCATGGTCATCATTTTCATTTAATTCCAAGACTCCAACCACTGTATGTACAAAACAAATCTTCATAATTCTTGCATATAAATAGGTCCTCAGCATATTGGGTGGTTTTCATCATATTTTATAATTATTGCTACATAGAGTCATGAAAAGCCTAAAATAGAATCAAGTAATCTCTAATTCATCTTGTGAGAAAATATACGTGTTATGTACATCTCTGATCCTACAGAGCCATTTATTCACAAACTTATCATTTCTATAAGCTTCCAATCACTGGATTACATAATATCATAAAATCAGTTCTATATAAAGAGACATACTTCATTAATCATAAAAAATCAATCCTATAAGAGACAATGATAAAATAATCTATTGCATTGCAATGATATATTCAAGATAAGAACTATGTTTTGTATAAGGTACCTACATGTAATATTGAAAGCACCACCATTATAAAAAAGTCCTCTCTGGCATCAAGTAGGCCTTGTACAAAGCATTTAACGAGAGAACCAGTTCAGAAAAAAGTTTGAATGAAATTAGGAATAGTAGTTGATAAAATATGAGTTATCTTTTGAGCATCTCTCCCATTTGGTCTGTACAAAAAAAAAAAAATCTCAATCTTTTTCTGAAGAAAATATGTAACTATACCTTTGTCATAGATATATGTATATTAATGGGCATGTTTTGTAACAACTGTCTATAAAAATGACATGACAAATTTATGAAATATATGGAATTTTCGTAACAAAGGAAAGGGAGAGGTGCTCAAAATATTATGAGTACAAGACAGATGTACATGTAGAGTGAATTCAGACCTTTCAATCAAGGGATAATCAATCACAGATAACACTGATTCAGGCGAGTCTAACTGACAATACTTTCCAGCTCCCTGACTGGCTATCTTTTTAGTAGAAGTTATAGAATGGACCTTAAAGTGGACTCCTTTTCAATTTTTCGCTTTTTCTTTTCTGGGCAAAGTCAGAGAGAGCGTACGATTGTCCATCATAATCCTTTCTACACTAAGGCCATACTGACTCGATTACATTGCACTTGTATATGTTCTTTTAACACAGAACTTATGCAATAAACTTTATTATTATCATTTGAACCTTAACAATTGTCCTATCTTCCTGCAAACCGGATCAACATAAGCTTTATTATACTGTTCTAAAATATGACTCAAAACACTTTACACTAACATGGTGATTGGTCTCGAGTTGTCTTCAAGCCCCAATTCCTTTCCATTCATTGGCAATGTTTTTTAAATGCTCTATGGTATTTTTCAAAGGGACTTTGTTCTTCACCAAAACTAAATGTAAGAGATACAGCTCTTTGTATCATGCCCTTAATGTTGTTTCACAGACTCCTTACACATTGATTTTGATACCATTTATTAATGCACTCAACTCTATCCTTGACTGTGACTAGAAATATCCTCCATCAATCTATCTTCACACACACACACATATATTCAAAGTATTCTTCCCCATATTAGATGTTATTTGTTTCTAAATTACAAAGTAAAGCACCTAGAAACCTAGTATTAAGCACTATATGAATGTGACTATTATTTTTTACTTACTTTTATTAATTTTTATATATTTTTCTTCAAACATTCGTACCAATTGTGACCAGGCATCACAAAACCACCTTAAAGTCACACGGTGTGATCTTCAGTGAGAAATCAATAGAGGTATATTTGGTCAGTTAGTTTAGGACAAATGTTGCTTTCCAGTGTTTCCTTTCTATATTGTTCTACTGGTATTAAACTTTGGAAGCACTAAGAAATCTAAAGTGGTATTTTGGGCTGCTTTTGTAGACCTCTGTCTGTCTGATCTTGAGGTTGTTACAGACTCTGGCTACTGACCAGTTTCATTCTGATCTCCTGTAACTAGAAGGTACTGAGAGTAAGATGTCACAATGCAGGACAGGAGTGGGTTAATTGTCACCTTGCATAACTCATTGGTCGTCAAAGTGCTTGGATAGACTACACTTAAACACTTCTTTCTCTACAGTAACATTCCATAAGACTGGTCATAGTCTACTCATTTTGAATTGGGATACAAACATCCAAATCTCCTCTTTTAGAATCAGATCTAAACTTTTAAAAATGTCATATCTGGTGACTGTTTGGTGGTTTTCTGGTGCTTGGTCACAATATATCAAAATAACAGCTCATCTTAAATGTACAGAATTAGTGTAGTTCTGTCATAAAAGTGATATTTTGAACACATGCATCAATGGAGCCCAAACCCAAACATGTTGAATCTCAATGAGAAACAAGATGTGAATATCAAATCAAATACTGATATATATTTGAGAGCAATGACTTATCCACAATGAAACCATATTTGAAGTGCAGCTTGTATACAATAAGACTACCAACTGTATAAAAAGCTAGTAGCAATGAGGTAGAGTTAACTGCTATTTGTATCACCGATGATAGGAGATATGAAGCTGGCTACATCGTCGTCTCCTATGTCAGCATGCTGCTTGATGAATTCATGTTCCTACAAAACAAATTTAACACATCACATTAAACTGCTTGATGAATTCTTGTTCCTACAAAACAAATATAACACATCAAATTAAATTATTCAATATTCTACAATGTGATTTATTTATTTATATATCTTTTTTTTTGGGGGGGGGGGGGGGGGGGGGGGGGTTAATGGTCAACCTGGTTAATGCAATGTATGGTGACAAATTGTGTACACTTATTAGTAAGCTATGTTTGTATAATCTGAACCTTGAAATTATCAAGAAGACACTTTTTCTTCTAAATCATGAAAGAAGAGAGAAAACTGTCTTAGCTCACAATCTCTCCCCAATATTCCTCACTGATCTAACATAGTCATCCAATGATCATTCCACTACTACTCTATAATGATGTTTTATAACTGATCTAAATAATGTTAACTACATCGTTTTCTTTAAAGCGGGACTGCACTACTTGTAGCTACTTGCCCCTCTATATAGCGAACAATACCTAAGCCGTACCCTTTGGTCCCATGGTCCCCTTTTTCTTATGTTAATTGAGAGCTGATTTGATGAGATAACCACCTGCCAATGACCACGCAGGGAGGTCTAATCTCTCCTGGCCAAACTAGTGCAGATAGGTTTGGAATAGAATCATGCACTCTGTTAACTGTACTGTCTTGTTCTTCACTGATATTTGCCGGCGTAAAGGCCGCAGTATTTTTGGAAGAGAAAATATCAAAAAGTCGGGGTGCGGCCTTTACGACGAAAGAGTAAAAAAAAAATTTTAAAAATGAAACTCAAAACCAACACGAATTTGCACATATGGGACTGGAAACGGTAAAAAAACTATACCACTATGGTACAGGACATTTTCAAACATCTTACCGACAATTTTATCTTGCAATGTTGACATGAAGACGAAATAACTTCCTAAAAACAACATTTGCCGATATATCTTGATCTAAGTTCGTGCCAATGCATTGCAAAAGTAAAGGAAGGGACCGTTTAACGGACCTGCCGCGAAGCATCCATCCAAAGTCGCCATTTTGTTTTTTCCATTTCATGCAATTTCGGATTACACCATACATTGTGGTAGGGGTATATCGGACACCAAATCTGCCTGCGATCGCTTTTTTAGCTAAACTTCCGGTAAATTATAAGAATATTGATGAATTTGGTATCAGTTTGTAAAAAAAATAGTGTTTTAAGAGAAAATTATGATTATTTTGTTTTGTCCGTTTGTTTTTTGTTTTTTTGTTTTTTGTTTTTCCCATTTTGAAATGTCAAAGTTGGGGTGCGGCCTATGCCGCGGTGTGGCCTTATCGCCGGCAAATACGGTAACTGTATATTACCCGCTATTTTGACTGAAAATAAAGATCTATGATGTAATATTGATCCACTTACTAATAGTCTTGTATATGAAGGTCTTTCTGTGCAGTTCTTTTTCAAACTAGATATAAAAGAAAAAAGAGAAGAGCAGAATTGAATGAAATACTGCCTGACATTTAACATTTTTAACAAACAAAATCAACTTTTGTATAAAAAAATCAGCGATAAAATTCACTTTATCTGAAAAAATAACTTCTTTGCTTTCCTATGTAACCTATGTTTGTCAGTTTTTCAAATTCATTTACAACTGAATAATATCTATCTTTGAAAATATTGCAAATCAAGATTTACAATATCTTTGGTATACAATGTATCCTTTAAAAGAAACTTTGGCAAGCAATAGTCCCACATTTTCAGGCCTCTCTGTACAGAGTTTATAATGTACCAAACATGTGACATTAAAGGGCAATCCAACCCTTGTAATAAGTTCATTTGTATGAAAGCAGAAAAATAAAGAGAATCAGAATGGCAAAAGTTTGAAATAAATCATATCAACAATAACAAAGTTATGAATGTTTGAAATATGAGATCACAAAGTCTATGCAAATCTCAAATTTGCAGTCTGGTTGGTAGATTAAGGTGTTGTTATGGACACATCTCCCGTTTGTCATGTACAGAAATAAAATAACTTTTTATATATCTCCTTAGCGCATTCTCTCCGATAATGGATAGCGTATTACAGGTCCTCTAAAGAGAAAGGACACTACAAAGTCATATTTTTTGAAAAATTGAATTTTTTAGTAATTTTGTGTGTTAGAACAAATGGCAAGTTGTCCGCCACTACTTCACAGAGACATTACCGATTCAGCCAATTTGAAGAGCCCATACCAATGGTGATTATAACTTTCAAAAGTTCATAACTTTATAATTTATTTTTTCCAATTTCATTCAAACTTTCACCAGTCTACTTCTCTGATTGTTCTGCTTTCCTCTAGAGTAGTTTGTTATCTGGGTTGGATTTCCATTTCAGGTTTTCTTCTACCAGTGTAAAAAGTGTAATAAAACATTGGGAAAATATTGATAAAAGGTTTGTATCTAGAGCACAAGTCAGAAACATTGCAGCCTTACCATTTGTTAATGAAATCCTGGATATCTTCTGAGAATTTCTCTTTAGGTAGTGCTGGAGAAGTGCCCTTTACAACCTGTGTGAGCTGCTGAAACATATCATGCCATCTCTCATATGGGTAGGCATTAGTAGCTATCTCAATCTGACAAATAAAACATATGTGCGACCAATGTTGAATATTACTGAATGCTGCACTGTAAACCACTGGTCAGGGTGTGTGGTTGCATGATACTGGTTATACATGTATTGGCAATGAAAGACCATGTCACTTCCAGGAAAATCCCATATAAATCAGCCCATGACACTGTCAGATATTTATGGTTCAAATGCTTTAGAACATTGCAGACAGACTGAGACTGGTCACCTTTAAACTTCAAACTAACAGCCCCCCCCCCCTGAAAAAAGAAAAAAAAAGAAGGTAAAAGTCATTGAAGGATGCATAGTTTTATACTTTGCAAAATGATTAGGAAAAAAATTACTGTGAAATGTCCATCCACCATCCATATTCACTGTAAGATGATTTAGAGCATGTCCTACTCGACAGAACAACCGTAAGTTTGAACACAACTACCTCCCAATATCATGCACTGATGATTATTTGTGCATATAAATATGACATTGTTACTTATATCCTTTGTGTGATAAATTGTTCTAACATTAAAATAAAAACCAAGAAAGTTATGAAATAGAAACAAATCTTACCATTGTGATTCCAAAACTCCAAACATCTGATTTGACATCATACCCCTTAGCACTCATGTCAGGGTCTATCCTCTCTGGCTGTATAAAGAAATACAATCACACGTTACACTACACACTGTCTCATAGATTGCTGTATTACCATCATACACAAGGCTATATACTTGAGTATACCTGTATTACTTAAGTTCAACCCTCTAAGATAAGTTTGATTACCATCACAGTTGTAGTACTGTACAGTACTGGGCATCATCTGTCTCTTGGAGGCTGGGAGGGGTATGCAGGTGGACCAATGCACCGGGGTTTCCCCCTACTCTTATACAAATAGTGCAGTTGGTTTTTAACATGCAAAGGTGGTGACTCTCCTCTACATGGGGCCTACATTTAGGATCATATCCGAGGGACGTGTACATGTACATTGTAGTTCTAAAAAGTTAGAATGTTAATTAAATCCAATTGTCTTCTGTTGACATAAAGGCCTGTTAATGATGGTATTGGAATGTATGAGTAGATACTCACCCTTTATAAATGTGTCAATGTAACACGCTAATCACTCACCATTCACTATTTCAAATAGTATCATAATTGACTACCTTTCTCTCTATATTTGTCTCAAGTGCACAAATGACTTCCTACACTGTATCAATAAATAATTCCCATGAAATTCAATGTGAAGCCTATTTTCACCTCTTCATTCCATTATAATCTATATTAATATAAAAATTAAAAAACAACATTGACCAGTGAGCATTATATATAGTTTGATGAGGGTCTACTCACAGCCATATACTGTCTGCTACCTGCATCTTGTGTTTTGGCCATAGAGTTGACCAATTGACCGCTGATACCAAAGTCACAGAGCTTGATCTTCCCATTGTGATTAGCTAGTACGTTAGATGGTTTCACATCTCTGTGAATCACTTTCAGTCTAGTCTGCAGATATTTGAGGGCACTCACAATCTAAAATAGTCATATAAACAAATACATCAATATATCGTATCACATAGAATGAACTTTCTAATCATGAATGGATTATAAACATTTCATCCTGCAGAAAGTGAATTATAGGCCCATGTATTCTGTCTGATACAGCTTTACTTAAATATATTTGAAGTCAGGGGAGGGGGCAAAATTAGTTGGCCCCCTTTGATAGATAAAAGCATCTGCCCCTTGATTTATACGGTGCCTATTGTAAACAGGATTTACAGACATATGAAATGGTGCATCTACTAAATATTTGAGGGATGCTGAAATGCTGGAAGTTTGCATTTTAGAGCTTTACTTAAATATATTTGAAGTCAGGGGAGGGGGCAAAATTAGTTGGCCCCCTCCCTTTGATAGATAAAAGCATCTGCCCCTTGATTTATACGGTGCCTATTGTAAACAGGATTTACAGACATATGAAATGGTGCATCTACATGTACTAAATATTTGAGGGATGCTGAAATGCTGGAAGTTTGCATTTTAGAGCACTTAAAAGATTACTATACATCATTCAAATGCAAAATATTTTTTTTTTTCCACCTTGCATGAGTGGATGGATAATACAAAAATTAAATATAACATGATTTGCCCCCCCCCCCCCTATTTAATCATGACAAGGCATGACCACTCGACCTTATTCAAAGAACTTTTCATTTAAATAGCTTCATTTCTTGCACCAAATTGCAATCAAATGTGGGATTTAAGCATTGTGAAGTAGGTGTATTAAAACACTATTTTTGTATTATTTTGATGTACTTACTGAGAAAGATATCCTGCTGAGGATATTTTCAGGAACAAATATCTTTTGAGGTTTGAGTTTGTTCTTATAGAGTTTGTCGAGACATGTATCCATGACTTCCATACAGATCCATACATCTCCCTGTCAACAAATAATTATCAGTCATTAGCAGACATATATCAGTCATTAGCAGACATATATCAGTCATTAGCGGACATCAATGCAATATTGCAACTTAATACCAAGGATAGCCTTCAGGTTGATCTCTGTAGATAATAAAATCTTTTAACATTTATATGCACTTCAAAGAACAAAAACCATCCATACAGAACAGAGATTATTTTTGACTCAATTAGCACTTTTTCTTCTAAAATGTTCTTATTGTAAACCTAGGATTCTTAATAATTTGTCAGTGGATTTAAATATTTCTGAAAACATTGAGTATTATAAAGTACACAAATATAACAATAGTCCATCTAGGGATAGTGGAACAACTTCACACTACCCTCTTCCCTGGTACATTAATCTTTCTTTGCTCCTCATTCTATAGGATCATTGATACTGTTCATCACACAGCACCTAGCAGATAACATTATAGGCTTTTTTTAAAGAGAGCAAGCAAAACTTTTCATGATGGAATACATGACAGAATACAGGTACTATTATTTTCATTGGAGAATAATTCATGGCATGAGCTTTCACCTGGTGTAAAAGTTGCAATTCTTGTTATCTTCCTGACCTGCCTAAATCCTATAACAAAGACAGTATAGAGATTGCCATTGCAGACCAGCCTATTCAGTTTAAGACTGTCAGGTTCGGGTTTAAAAAAAAAAAAAAATATGATGAATGTGACTGCGTATCCAATATGCGTCGGTCCATATGTTCATTGATCAATGATCTTGAGGTTTTTAGCAGCTGACCTCACAAACCCAACTCTTCTTTTTATCTTTTAATGTTCAAACGTACTTGAGCAGAGTTTGGTTAACATTGGTTCAATTTTTGTAAAATTGCAGTAATAAGAAACCTTTCAGGATTTTTAACACATTCCCAACCTTGTAATCTTCACATTTGACCTCTGACATGTAAATGTAAATCCAAAATCAAATCACATTGTTTGTTCAATTTCATTCAAACTTTCACCAATCTGCTTCGTTTAGGAGCAACTAAAGTATTTCCCTTCAAAATTTTGGTTTTTTAAAACAATATCGTAAGAATGATGTGTCTATATCTAGAGTGAACCTGGTTACTATACCTCTTGGAAGAGAGCACCATAGAACTCTACTGTGTACACGCAATCTGAACTCCTCATAGCTACGTCCATGTCCATTAAAATCCTTTTATCCTCTGTGCTGTTTACCTGGGCCGCATTTTCTATAAAAATACAATCAATCAGACATAATCAAAATCCATATGAATATCGGTATGCAGAAATGAAATTGTGATCTTCATTACGAAATTATCAAAGTAATATTGTCCCAATATTTTACACAATTTTCAAGGAAACTGCAAACCCTAAGTAGATTTTTGTTTTGAACCAGCAAAAGGAAATACAAATCATGGAATGATTAAGCTGGAAATCACATTCATTGAAACTGCATCTTCTACTGCTCAACAATCAGTCAGGTCAAATTCTCTTCCTTCTTTTTTTTCCGGCTTAATCACTCAGCTCATTTACATTTTCAAATTGACTGGGAAATTGAAAAGTGAGTCAAAGTGTGTGTGAAACTATGAAACTATTCTTTCGATCAAGCTCAAAGATTTACTGCCATTGGCATAACAAAACAATATTACAACTGATGCTGATGATTGATGATGACGATGATAATGATGATGATGATGATGACTGATTATGATGATGATGATGATGATGATGATGATGATGATGGTGATTATGATGATGATGATGATGATGATGATGGTGATTATGATGATGATGATGATGATGATGATGATAATGAGGATGGGGATGATAATGATGATGATGATGATGACTGATTATGATGATGATGATGATGATGGTGATTATGATGATGATGACTGATTATGATGATGATGATGATGATGATGATGATGATGGTGATTATGATGATGATGATGATGATGATGATGATGGTGATTATGATGATGATGATGATGATGATGATGATGATGATGATGATAATGAGGATGGGGATGATAATGATGATGATGATGATGATGACTGATTATGATGATGATGATGATGATGATGGTGATTATGATGATGATGATGATGATGATGATAATTATGATTGTGTTTTAAAATAAAGCCTTACCTTAACAGCCATGATGGATTCAGTAGGTTCATGTCTAGTTTTATCCACGATGCCATATGCTCCTCTTCCTAGATTCTCAATCACAATCATATCTCTGGCATACACCTGAAACTCATGCCCATTCACTGTCAGTGTAGCCTTGTTGTCCAGCCCACCTGGTGGCCTATCAAATGAAACATTCATTCAACAACTCTATAAATATCAATACCAAATCAATACATATCAATCTGAAAAATCCATGTTCATACAGAAATTTTAAAATAGTTTTATTTCTAAACTATGTTCATACGTTTACGGTCATTGATTTCATTTCTAAAGTATGTTCATACAGTCATTAATTTAATTTCTTAATTATGTTCATACAGTGATTGATTTCATATTTAACTAAAAGTATGGAGGCGTAAAGCGTCTGCCTCTCGATTCTCGAACCAAAGATCCCGGGTTCGAATCCCACCTAGGCGGATGCCTGAAGCCTGCGTTGTGTGTTAATGTGCCCTCCCCTTGTTCATAGATGCAGGCTATGTTAAATGGAAAAAACTCAGTCCCTCAGAAAGGATGTTAAATGGAGGCCCCGTGTACAAAAGAGTCACTTCCTTTGCACGTTAAGAACCCACTGCACTATTCGTATAAGAGTAGGGGAAACCCCGGTGTAGTGGTCTACCTGCACACACCCCCAGTATAGTACGATAATACTCTGTAAAGAGGTATGTACTCAAAATGGAAGAAGAAGAAGAAGTCACTGATTTAATTTCTTAATTATGTTCATACAATCATTGATTTCATCTTCTATGTTCATTTAGTCGGTTGACTTCCTCTCTTTGAAAGCCACTTAGTAGTCACTGTCCATGAGAATCGCATCATAATTCACTGACACCAGATTTGGTTGAATTAAAGTGTACATGCATGTGTGTGCAAAGGTCTCTGAAGCAGCAAACCCAACCTGTGGTACCACTGGAAAAATACTCCAAGCTGCATTCATATATCAAGGGTGAGGGGAATTTGATATCATAATGAGATTTTCTCATGTCGGTAGGCTATGACATTACACAAGACATGCCGGTCGTACAAGTGAAGTCCATTCTTGGTGATTGACAGCACCTGTTTTGGGGTAAACTCTCAAATGATTTCAAATTTCCCTTGAAAACCCACCACTACGAGTCTTTAACAGGTAAATAGCTAAGTTAGGACAGTTTGAATACTTACTTTTTCTCCTCCCGCTTAGGAGCCTCTTCGGCATCAAATTTGAATTTGACTCCTCCAAATTTCTTTTTACCTGTAAGAATGAACAAGTAAATTATCTACATGTATAAGACTACCGGCAGTTCTAAGCTTGTTATACTTGTGCGACTCCGTTTAAGATCACTGTTATTTACTAGGTGGACAAAAAATTTGCTTAATTTTTCCTCTTTAAAACCTTAACATAAATGTTGCTGAGGGAGGGTTAAAAACTTAAAATTGCAGGAAAAAAGGAGTGGGCAAGTTCAAACTTCTTCAGTTTAATTCACAGAGGTCAAGTTGGAGTCCCAAGTCCGTTCTTCTTTTTTTAATAATTTTCTAATGCATATCATAAACATGTAAACTTCAGGATCGTATAGAAAACAGATTTGCAAAACAAATCTGTATTAAAAAACAATTTTTTTCTAGCTTTTTCCTTTTTTCAACGAGCTTTTCTGATGAAAAATCAATAGTTTAAACCCAACATCCATGTTTTTTTTTTCCATCGTTACAAATGTACTGGTTAACATTTGTTAGAGGACTGAAAATGTAGGTACCGGTAATAAGAATATAAATAAGAATGATAACAGTACAGCCACAGACAAATTTCATAAAGATCAATATTCGTTTTTTAAATATTCTTGTTAATTACCTTTAGTAGCCATTGAGGTGAAGTGGAACAGCTTTGTTTAGAAGGATGACTAACTCAACCACAGGCAGCACACCAGTCTTCCTGTATGACACAAACACATCAAAACAATTTCATCATTTTACGAACCATCTACTACAAGGATGACTATTCAACAAAGGATATTTCCCTTTTGCAACCACAATTGCTAACTCTCATAAATCACATGTTAGCTCATTATCACCAGGAACACATGGAAGGTAAGGAAAACATTATCACTCATGTACATGTAATACATTTTCAAATTTGAAGTTCAATTTTCGAGTGATTTCAAAGTGCTTTGTATGAGAAGAAAGAAGAGTCGACTAGCAAACACCAAACCAGCTTGCAAGGTTTGCCGGGTGCGGGAATCAGTGATTCCAAATGCATTTTAGGTTTTGTTAGTACTTAACATCACTCTTAATGCAGGCATATGGCCCTGCGTACCAATAAAGGCTGGGTGATATCAATATCATATTTCATAATGTCACCTAGCCCTTAAGGCTACTCCCCTCACTAATCTGTACGATGTATGGTCACATTTATAACCAAATACCGTACGGCGTACGCCTCTAAATACAGAAAACCCTGTTAATGGCCGTATATATAATAGGCATTATAAATGATATGCATCGAAAGGCAAAGGCATTTGACGAGTTGACCTACAATGTTCATGTAACCCGGTACTTCAAGCTTCACATGCATGTAAATGCGCGCACAAAGTAAATTGCAGTTGTTTACCGGTACGCAAACAATTTTCATTTACTATAATCACCGTAGTTATATTTTATTCTACTGAGAACAAGAATACTTTGAAGTATACAAGGGACTCGGTTCTAAAATTGTGTGTCCAGAAACTTATTTTTGACAAATGCATGCATTTTGTACCTAGATGTAAAAAGTGCTTTTTGGTCAATTTGTAGATCTGCATAATGCCTTAAACTACGCAAACACCATGAGTGAGTTTTCAGAAGACTCAGAAGTCCAGTTTTTTTATAGGAAAAACAGGAGATATAAAATGTACCAGAGAAATATCTGTTAAAAAAGCGAATTCAAAGGTGTTTTTTAATTTCAAAACTAGTTAAGTCTGTATAATTTTGATCTTGTTAATCATTTGAAAATGTAATTCAAAACAGTTTGAATGATTCCCTTGTTTTGACAATCCTCGTTAAATGCCCGAGTTCACAGCTTTTAAGTTTGTGGTCATTATTGTGAACTTTATTCATGGGTATTTTCTTTGTATGTCACCAACTTTCCATGTCATTTCGATGATTTGGTTGAAAATTATAGTTTTCTTACTTTTCCGTAGTATGAAGTATGGTGGTGTGACCATAGTTTGCACGTGACCTTAATTCGCGGACAGAACCTCAAATTACACAGAGACAAAATTTTCTTTGGAATGGGTTTGAAATTATAACAATTTTGACAAAACATTGCCTTATCTTATTTTGCTATCTTATGCGTCCATTTCAAAAGTTTTGAAGCTTGAACTTACCAAGAAAGGTCTAGGCATCTTCATATCGAGAGCAGATGTCATAAAAATTTACGATACCAAAAGTGATACCTACTGATTGGGTGATATTTCGCCTTGCAAATTATGCAATTATCTTATATTTGATGGATCGCCATCTGTGATAAATCAGCTGTAAACTCCCATGTGCGAACTAAGGTCTTGTTATTAAAAATGACTTTTCATCAGTTGCAGCACTAACTCTGGGAAGCTCCGACGCCGATGCCAAAGGCCTCGGAGCTTTGGGTGGTGCATCGAAAAACATTTAACAGCGGGTTGGGCGACATTATCTCAAAATATGCAAAGGGAGTAATTACAATTTTGACTTACTAGGTTGATCGACTCCTCTGGGCATCTATCCATCAACTTGAAATTATAATTTGAAGAAGTCTTTTATGGGAAAAGGGGGTGATTCTTCATCCTACCCGACGATTCTTCCATGTTGTTTCGTCGATTCAACTGACGAAGAGAAAGTACGCACGACCACGCATGCGTACTTAGTGCATACATGTACTTTCTCTTCGCCGGTTGAATCAACGAAACAACATGGAAGAATCGAGCAACCTAGTAAGTCAAAATTTTAATTACTCCCTTTGCAACTTTGCATACATTGAGATAATGTCACCCAACCGCTGTTAGAATGTTTTTCGATGCACCACCTGAAGCTCCGAGTCCTTTGCCATCGGTGTCGGAGCTTCCCGGAGTTATTGCAGCGCATGCCGATCCGACATCAAATTTTGAGATCTCAATATCTCCAGAATTCTTGGATGATAAATTTTCTCTTTCACCAATTTGTTGTCAAAAACTTTGCCATCCATTTTGTAATAATTGAACAAAATTTTCTAGAAACTTTTGAAAAATCAAGGACACATCATTCATATTTCACATCATTCAATCATAGATCTACTTTACTACAGACTAAATTTGAGTCTCTATAATTAAAATTAGGCAGCGACCATTCATAATTTCATATCATATCAGAGAATGAAGCTATAGTTTTTGGTCTAGGGCCTATTCTCTCTACCGATACCGTCTACCATCTGACCATGCTGACAACAATTATTTAACTGTCTAGGCCTAGATCTATTAAATTTAGTACCGTAGACCTAGTCTAGTCTACTTGTACATTTCCCTAGTATTAACACTCACAGATTCAGTTAAAAAGTAAAAACAATCAGATTCAGAGCGTTTGTCTACCTTCTTGTGACTAAGAAGATACAGCTGACACTGGCAGGTTGGCTTGGATTCTTGAAATTGTTCAGATGACCGATTCATTGAGTGGTGACCTCAGCTCAACAGGATTCTCACAATATTTGTAGTGCTATGGAAGAATTTCGATACGGTTCCGCACCGTCTTCTCTGGGAGGAGGGCCGGTTGCTTTACTCCAGTATATCGGGCACTGCAGCCTGCAGACAGCTGGGCGTTGGCAAAGAAAGCCACAGATCTCCAACAAGTTCCGAGCATTAAATAACGTCTGTTCCTGTAGCTGTGGACCCAAACAGACTACTGAGAAGAATTATCGGAATTGCATGTATAACAACCTGTTATCATTACTATAAATAAGTATTATTAGACACACTGAAAAGCCAGACAATCCCGAACATTTATATGAGTCATAACTGGCACGTAGACTATCGACCCTATACATATCGTCCGTGAAGAAGTCGTTCCGTTTATTTTCACTCGCGTACTAAAACAAAAAAATGGGAAAAGAAAGGATATAACTAAGCCCAGAAAGTGGGAAGAAAAGAAGGGGAAAAGGTAAAAAGAAAAACAGTATACAAGACAAACTAAGAAGAAAAAAAAAAGAAAAAAAAAGAAAGATAACCAACTAAAAGGGGTTCCTTTCAGAGGGGGGGGGGGGGGGGGGGGGGGGTTCAGAGCGCTATAAAAAAAAAATTATTGTGGGGGGGGGGTAGGGGGAGGGGGGCAGGGGGGCAGGCCCATCGCCCCCCACCCCCACCCCCGTGGATCCGCGCCTGATCGTGACCATTATGGTTTATTCTTTGTACTATTAGATAAAGTTCATATCTTTGCAGAAGGCTTTTTGATCAATCTCTTCGACTCTGACTCATTTCATAATTAGAGGAACTCGTCACGATAAATATAGCTTACATTTTCTTGCCTTTTATTGCGTCTCGATATATCATATACTTCAGTATAAATATTTCATTTTGGAAAGTTCAGCATTTGAAGAGAATGTTAAATTTCAGTTATCTTTGTAGCGGAAAATAGTATGAAGCTAGCATTAGTCTACTTTACCTTTAATCACTACATAGAAGCATACACATACATTGCATACAGAGTGTACAATAAGTATGCTGACCGCTCGAGCTCTACACCCCAAAGTCAGCCGTGAATTGTTTGGGCTAGCCAATTAACTCTTGACCAAAGCAGTGACCAAGAGGGTTATTGTGTGGGATGATGATGTTGAGTATATTATAAGGAGGAACATTCTCCAATGTGTATGAGGACACTCTGAGATGTAAGACTTGAGAGAGAGAGAGAGAGCAGTATTCTTTGATTTAGCTGTTGTTAATAGGGTTTTTAACAGTTGGTAAATTCATTTAATATATTTCTCTTCTAATGTATCATACTTTTTGTAGTGACATTTTAGTCAGTTATACATTGGATATTTGATCGATGTGTTAACCAAATACTTGGTTTGAAGTTCATACAGTTGTAGTACTGTACATGTACAATCATTTGAGTATGTTTCTTATATTTATAACATCTTTGTAAAGTAATTTAGTAAACATATAATTATGCATTTTCACTAGTTAGATTCATACTCATGATTTCTATATTTCCTTAATACAAAGGAATAATTGGAGTTAAGAAGATATAATACAGATATATCAACATTACATAATAGTTAATTGAACTTGGTTCATTAATGCCTCAGTAGCAGACTACGGTTGTTTACTACATTTAGTTCGAAGTTTTCTTGCTAAGAATAGGTAACTTAATTGTTATGTATCACATACATGTGTATATATTACTTGTTTTGTTATTTTAGTTAAACCACACACGTTCACACACATTATTTTGAACTGGTCAGTGTGATAACTGTGTCGCGAGAGAACGAAAGAAAGTGCGTTTGCCCTAATGTTACGTGGCAACAATCTGATAAGTTATTTAACTATATTCCTCCAGGAAATAATTTTGATTATATTCATTAGGCCTAGTAAGTTTTCCGCCCAGTTGAAGAAGTTCAAATCAAAGCCGATTTTGTTCAAAATTAGAATTTCTGCTGCTCGGATGCAGTCAAAGATGTACACGTACAAGGCAGCGGGAGGGGTTGAGGGCTCCCGAGGATTGATACAGTGCGACCCAGAAAAAACAAAACCGAGAATTATCGATGTTTTATCATAACTTAATCACAATTATAATTAATAAATGACACATATTGTAAAGCTTAGATCCTCCTCTTTCATTTGATGCAACTCATAATGATGCATAGTTCACGCATGAGTGATTAAAAGCGGGTGGGCGGTATCTGTCCCATTATGATACAAAAAATGTCTCCCCTGTTTCACCCTCTCTCTCTCTCTCTCTCTCTCTCTCTCTCTCTCCCTTTCCCTCTCTATTCTTCTTCTTCTAATTTATGTAGTGTGCAGCTTTGTCTTGTTTTGTCTTATCCTGTCATGTCTTGTTTTGGTTTGTTCTGTTATGAATTATTTTGTCATATCCCATCTTATCTTATTATGTAAGTTTCCTGTCTTTTGTGTCCCGTCTTGTCATCATGTTCTTTCGTATATTTCGATTATTTCGACACTTTAAAATGGTTCATGAAAATATGCTATTATTATAAAATCTTTCTTACTGTAATTATTAAGACACTTTAAAACGATTTATGAAAATAATTTTTATATTATACCGGGTATTTGTTTTTTTGAACCTATACAAAAACAAGCTATATGCTTTCCAGTAGGTTCCTGTTTCATTTCATAATATAGAACTTACTTTGTCAATATGTTCCAAGTTAGGCCTATTGTGCAAACATTTATTGATATGAAATGGAATAAATTCGAATCAATCAATCAATTCCCTCATCCAGAAAGTTGCTGAAAATGAGTTTAAATTTTTTTAATTTTTTTTATTGATTAAACAGCATGATGAGTTAAGGCGTGTGTGTGTGTGTGTGTAATTGGGTTTTTACAGACGTGTATCAATAATATCAGATAGGGGGACCGACCTTTAACGTCACCATCCGAAAGACGTGAATCAGTTTCGAACCTGCGTCCTCGGCTGAATCAGTTTGTAACTTCCACTGTTAGCTGGATTACAGGTGCACGCCACAACGCCTAGTTAAATGAGTTAAGGCTATATACAGCAAACGATTTACGTTCTGAAGTGCTCTTTACCTAAAGCAAAGTTTCGTTATTACAAGACAATCGCCAGATTGTGTCTCGCCCACCTGTAAACGAATTATTATGAATGTTCCCAGTGGCGTAATAAGCAAAAACGTTTGGGGGGCTGACAAAAAAAAAAAATCCGAATCATCCCACTCTAACATGCTGAATTACGTTTTTCAAAGTGGGGTCTAGGGGCAAAGCCCCGGTCGGGTTCAAGGGGCGAAGCCCCCGAAGCTCAAGGGGTATGGGCATCAGTGGCGGATCCAGGAATTTCTTACGGGGGGGGGGCGCAAAATGGTATGGGGTGAAATATATGTAAAACGATGAAGCAACAGAACAAGGCTTTAACGGCGAGGGAGCGGAGCGACCAAGCAGGGGGTGGGTCTGGGAGGGGGTTCTGGCCCCCTCCCAGAGTAAGAAGCATTTGTAATTTTAGAACCAAATTAGACGCATTTTCAGGCACTTCCTGGAGTAATATGACGTAAAATTGCTTTCTCCTACCCTTCCAAGAGTAGGGATCTTTTGCAATTTGAGAACCACATTATTTTGGCGCATTAATGTCCACCGGCACTTCATGGAAAAAAAAAAGAGGCCCTCTGATTAGTTATAAGTTAGAGAAAAGTGATCTGTCACGTCGTGAGACGTTGTATAAATTATGCTTTGATGCCGCACAATGCACAAAGACGGTGGTCCGGTACTTCACCAGTAGTACTCGCAAAAATTATCTCGAGTGTATAAACTGTGTCGTTATCAGGGGCGTCGCTAAATCTTTTTCAGTGGGGAGGGGGGGGGGGGGGGTGTAGAGGCCGCCGATTACCAACAAATCGAGCCACCAATATTATTACCGACAAATATAAAAATGCCAATGTCCAAATGTCTACAAATTTAACCCTTTAAACCTGGGACCAGAAACTAAGTTATTTTTCAGTTTTCCCCTCCCGTGCGAAGCGTGGAAGCTTTGACACTTCATTAAATTATTAGAGAAAGAAGACGATCCGTTGTACTTTTCTCGACTCTTAAAGCTTGGTTCGCCCCTCCCGCGCAAAGCGCGGAAGCTATGACGTTTAATTTAATTATTAGAGAAAGAAGACGATTCATTGTACCGGTCCCGACTCTTCATCCTTGTCTGAATTCAGTTCCCCCCTCCCGTGTCAATGATTAAGAACCGAGATTGATTAAGAACCGAGAACGGAACAACGAATCGTCTCCTTTCTCTAATAATTTAATGAAACGTCAAAGCTTCCGCGCTTCGCGCGGGAGGGGTATGGAAACTGAATTCAGACAATGATTAAGAATCGAGAACGGTACAACGAATCGTCTTCTTTCTCTAATAATTTAATGAAACGTCAAAGCTTCCGCGCTTTGCGGGGGAGAGGGGGGGGGGGAACTCAATTCAGACAAGGAATAAGAGTCGAGAATGGTACAACAAATCGTCTTCTTTCTCTAATATCAATTAATGAAAGATCAAAACTTCCGCGCTTCGCGCTGGAGGGGAGGGGAGTGGGACCAGGGGGGGGGGGGAGGAACTCAATTCAGACAAGGATTAGGAGTCGAGAATGGTACAACGAATCCTCTTCTTTCTCTAATAATTTCATGATACATTAAAGCTTCGCGCGTAATGGGGGGGGGGGGGGGGGGTGGAAGGGGAACAGCGAGCTACCCGAATATGAATGTGTTATATCTTTTCTCGTATATTTTGGTGATAAATAACACTTTCACAAAATACATATTATCCTCAAATTTTTGCTCGCTCGCTTCGCTGACTAGCCGAATTGTGAAACCAGAAAATTACTTTTTCGGGCAAGAGGCTTCACCCCCCCCCCCCCCCCCCCCTCGATGAAAATGTCCAAAAAAATACCGGTATGGTGCTTCAGACCTTGTCAGTATTGGTATGTTGAGTTGAAAAACGGTCTGCGCAATTTTCAAATTTCCGGCCCCCCCCCCCCCCCCCTATTGGAAAATCCTGGATCCGCGCCTGTTAACGGTATATGTGCAGTGTTACATGATGTAAGTATGGAACGCTCGTTCGCAAATCTGTGCATGCTCAGCACGAGTGGTGGGTAGCATGCATAGAGATATATCTCTATGGTAGCATGTTATCTCCCGACAGTGCTTTGCACAGTAGCTTCTGGAAAGGAATAAGTGTTACTGTTAGTGGCCACTATTAGGCCCTTAGTGACTATATATACCATGCAGGGTTAGCATAGTCAAATAAACATTGAATAAGAGCAAAACAGAGTGTACGTCTTGCTTTTAAATCCATACAACTTTGATATCTGTACAAAAATTTCAG